GCGCAGCCAAAATCCCAAATTCAAAATCCACGGTGTATGCAGTCTTACATAAATGTGCCGTAAAAACTGTAACTCAGCGTTTGCGCCATGCACGGTGCTTGTCACTGCACGTGGCGAAAACAGGAAAAATCTAACAAGTTTGTCATTCTTATGCATCGTGGTGAGCTGCTCCCGGGTTTCTATCCCAGGGCAGATTCTTCTTGGTCCTGGACTGCGGCCTAAAACAGGCATGTCGTGGCTTGTGTTTGATTTAGTATTCTTTAAATAGTGAGAACACCCTTGTGTCCCTCTGGAAAAAAAATGGTGGTGTTGTTGTCAGTTGACCCCAAGCTGTTTGGTGCTGTTGTTCCTGTCTTGTAGTGATGTTTCATTTTTTTTAAATCCGGATCGTAGGTCAATCACAACCACGTACGCCACACTTCTACTATGTTATTTAATTTGATTTCCAGTTTCTAATACAATTAAGTCCCTCAAGAATCTCGGTCCAAGGGTCGTTCAATATTGTATACATAACTGTCCCCTTCTGCCCCCAGAACCGAGCGAGGAGGGAGAGAGTTAGAGGGAGACTGGAAAGCCCGACAGAATGAGAGAGAAGCTCGAAGACGAGGGATGAGATCGGAGAGACATTGGGAGGAATGGATACGAGAGGGAGAGAAGAGAAGATCTGAGAGAGGAGAGGAGAGAGAGGAGAGGAGAGACGAGGAGAGAGAGAGAGAGAGAGAGAGAGGAGAGAGGAGAGAAGATGGAGAGGGACAAGAGAGAGAGAGAGAGAGAGAGTGAGAGAGGAGAGAGAGCGACGAGAGAGAGTGAGAGAGAAGATTGATGGTAAAAGCAACAGAGAATGAAGATGAGCTTAGAAAATGGTGAAGAATAGAAATAAGAAACAGAGTTATAGGTGCCATACGGTGCAAGTGTGCTTTGGCTCTTCACTGTGTTTTGCAAATGTAGTTTAGTTAAATGTTCATTTGAATACATTTTAAAAATTCGATCCTTGCAGGCTCTAGCTGACAACAGCAGCATGACTGAGTCAAACCAGTTTGATGGAAGTTTCAATTTCAAACACAGTAAACAGGCGTATTTGGAAAGATGTCAACAGCTCAAAAAACAAGTCCTGATAAATAAATAAAAAACGCTGCAAAGATCTGTGAATAGAATATTTAACAATTTTATAAAAATCAGTTTAACAATTCTTTATTAATAGTCGGTTCTTTATTTCTTTATTAAATCTTTGATTGTATATAAATCACTACAAGAAAGATTGTTTGTCCTCAAGATTCATAAACTGCTCAGAAGAATTTCAATAAAAGAGGAATAAAGATCTAAATATTTGGTTGTACGGTCGGTCCATCTGTTGTAGTGCATGTGACAAATAAAATAAAAAATACAATGCTGATACAGTAAAACTGGCTTCATGCTTTATGGGAGGATCTGCATATTTGAGTTGGGATTGTTTGCATCTCCTAATGATTCATTTATATGACTCATTCATGTTTACTGACACCCAGAGGGCCCCGCTATGTAAATCTAATATCACCAAGCCTTAAAGGGAGGGGTGTCCTGGATGTGGCAGTTGGTAATATTACGGAAGATTTTAATCGCTGCTCATTTGTGAAACGACACCTGAAACAGGCTCTTCACTTGTGGTAGGGACAGCAGCGGGAAATACATTTTAAAATAGTGGATTTTTAATTGAAAAAACCTTTACATAATATGTATAGTAGTTATTATGCATCAGTCAGGCTCTCAGCCTATAGCACAGTGAAATGACTAGAGGTAGGAATCAGTTAATTTAAATTAAAAAAACATATTGCCACACACTTTTCTGTGCTTCATTTGGCAGGCAGAGACATTCATGAAGATCAGTTAGCTTCTAATTGTCTTTTAATTGTGGTGGTATAGTATCCAGTATGAACGTTTGAAATCATTAGCGTTGGTAATACCAAATTAAACTAAACATACATCACGTCCCTGTATATCTATGACCGCATTCACAATATTTCTTACATTACTCTTCAATAAATAATACTTACTGTATTCTCTTCCTGTCTTCCTCACACAGACCAGTCTCACAGCGCCCCCTTCAGCTCCGAGAATGAGGCTCAGGGAGGCGACTCAGCTGCGTGGCAGTGCACCCCTCCCCCATCTACCTCACCTTCGGGGGAGACGCCGGCACACCCTCCTCCCTCCCAGCCCGCGTCCAGACCCCGCTCCAGGCCGGCCAGCCAAAGCCCCTCCCCTCCCTCCGCCCTGACAGGAACCAAGAAGAGGGGCTCCAAACCGGCTCACATGAGACGTAACATCAGGTACTAAAGTCGACGTCCTCACTTCAACCAGAAAGATTGTCTTAGTCGAAGAGTTCAACTTGTTTATTCTGTAGCGATCTTTAAGAAGCTGTAACATCACAATAATTAACCCAGCATCATTTCTGATTAAATTAACTGATTCCTATCACCCTACTTAGAAAAGGATTGTTGCCATGACATTAAAGCACAGGTTATCATTGAAGCAATGAATCATCTGAAATATAAAGCATAGATAGTGATATTATTTATCTAACATTTTTTGACAATACACAGTATGTGTTTGCCCAGATGTTGCTAATAGCTAAATTTCGTCAGTAGACCCTGCACATCTGGGGTCGCCAATGTTCAATGCAGCAGAAAAAAGAAGCAAAACACTGCATTGATAATACATTAAGCACAATCAAATGTTATTACAAACAAAATCAAATCAAACCGCATTTCAAGTTTCTTTCAGCCATTTTAGATTTTTAGAAAATGACTCAGTGCTTGGCAAGCAGTAATCAGTCAACCCTGAGATTAAAGGCATTACTACACAATCCCCTGAGTGTGTTTCTGCTGAGACGCAAAGTAAACTAACACTCACTCAGCTTTTTCAACCCTTATTGTATTTCTAATAATGTTCATTGTTGGCTGGACAATAGGATTTATCATCTCCCTGCTGTATCACTTTTTTCTGCTTTCTTTCTCTCTTCCCTCATTCCATGAACTAAAGCTCAAGCCAATTACTGATGAAATCTGTCAGTGATTATACTTAAACATGCTCCGTCTGCAGCACCATTCCTCTGGCTGCCAATAACCATGATATAGCTCAACCTCAAGTATGCTGCTGCTTTTACGTAACAGCGTCTTTAGAGTAACAGCAAACATGTGCAAACTCTGGCTTCATTGTTTGTAATTGTAAGTGGACTCATTCTCGTCTTTTACGTGACAGGTGCTGATTAGTTACCGCCCTTTTAACCAGAATGTGCAGAATTTAATATCATCGAGGCTCAAATAATTAATTTATGCAGCTGTCAAAATATCTACAATTTTCTCTGTTTCTGTAGAATTTATTATTATTAATATTAATAATAATAATTATTATTATTATTATTATTATTATTATTATTATTATTATAAAAATAAATGTTTACACATGAAAACTTGCCCTAACTTCTAGAATCTTACAAAAATTTGCCTACAAATACGCAATGTTTTGTTCATTGTCTTGATTTTATTTAAGGACGAATTAATTTTCAACCATTGGGGGCAGAAGAACGCAAAAACAAACAGACACAACTTGGATGGATAACACTTTTACAGCAGACACTTAAAATAGCCTTCATTTGAAGTTGTTTCCATCCACCAGTAGCCTACAAGTCCCATATCCACTCTCCGTTTAGCTCTTGTTAACTCCTGAGAAAAGTATGTGGCTCCGAAACAGCTAAATATTTGGCTACATTCTTCATCTGGTAGCTAACTTTGTCTTTATGCCTCTTTTAGCTCATTTTTAACCAGACAAATTAGCTAAAATAGGCTAGGAAGCTCGTCAGAGCTGCAGAATGAGATGGTAATTCTCTGTGGGTTCATATCTGTATGAGTCACACCTTTCACAATACACATAAATTTCATTCCATGTTAATAGTTAATAAATTAGTGATTAATGCAGCTGTGAAGAAATCACTGTCATCATATGAGTGTGTATACAATGAAAACCATGTGTCTCCCACCCGCCCAGTGACAGTTGTTGGTTTTGTTTTTCTCTCGTGTCTGTGCAGGAAGTTACTGAGGGAGCATCAGTTGGAGGCAGTGACCAAAGCCGCCCAGCAGGACGAGTTGGAGAGGAGGCGACGTCTGGAGCAGCAGAGAAAACAGGATTTCCCCGTACCGCTGCTGCCTGAATACACAACTGGTGAGAGCGTGGTGTACCCCTCAAAAAATGCTTCCATTAATACCAACAGCACCCAGACATTGATTCTCCAACCTGTACGCCAACATCCATTCCTAATCCCAAACCCTTAACCGAAGAACAAACTACCCTTAAAACAGCTTGCTAACATCTCAAAAGTATGTTTTATCCAACATTATCATTCATCTTGTTGATCTGCAGCACCATTCCTGTCCCTCTCTACAGGTGATGTGGCGAAGCACGTCTCCTCATCATCGGTATCAGCTGCATCGCAGCAAGAAGTGAAGTCGGTCAGACAGGAAGTGATCTGCCTGGACTCCAGCAGCACTGGCATCAGCGAGGATGAGGGCAAGACTAACGTAACCACCTCCACTACCACAGAGCACACACACAAAAGAGGTAAGACGCACACATATGTCAAACATTAACTAAAGCATTTATTAATAAATGTAAATTTCTGGAACATAAAAAAATTGAAGCTAGTAATTTGGCAGGAAGGCATGATTCTGTGCTTATTCAGCCCTGTTTGGACAGAAGAATCCCAGCATCTGCAGCTCCTGTTTATCAGATCAGAATAACAGCAGCCAAAGCACTGAAAAACTATCACATTTTTGTGGAGAATCTAGAATTACGTACAGCCCCTTTTCAGGTTAACCAGGCTTAACACACATCGAAGGTCTCTTGCCCGGATTGCCCCTTCGACCTTTGATTGTGTAAATGGGCTAGTAGGTCAGATGGTCATGAAAGCAGATGGCGACACAGAGCTGTGAAGCTAATTTATTACCCATCATACAGTTGTATATTGTGAGCTGTCCACATAGCCAGGCAAATCCTTAAATAAGCCAGATGCTAATTCTTAACATGCCTAAACAGCACAGGCTGAGCTTTGGTACAATGTGTGAATATTTCTTTCAGATGTCAAGTTGGTTACGCCAACTTTTTTGGTCCAGTTTTAGAAATTAAAGGATAGACTTGCCTTTTTCCAACCCAGGATTTGTTAGCATCATGTTTCCCATTATTCATCATCATGCTTAACACAGCTTTGCGAAGAGGGCTTCAGTTTTGAGAAACCCGGCATTCTTTGGCAGCTTAAACAATCCAATACAATGATTTAGAGCTTCAAAAACCACACTATGTAACAGTTTTAAACAGCAGAAGCTCACAGGACAGTCAGACCACACAGTATATTCCACTAATAAAGACATGTCAAACTTTTTAACAGGTTTGACTGATCACTGCAGAAGCAGGAAGTCGTTCAAATTACAACCTTGCATGTTTTATTTTCCTTTTTTTTTCATTCATAAAATATGTGTGTTTTTATACTGTGAGCTGTGTGGTTTTTGGAGAAAAATATTCCTGCCTCTTTCAGAGGTGGAATCTGCAACATTGCTGGTTTAATCTGTCTGTTAAACTTATGGATACAGCTGCGGTGATGATTTGCACAAGAAGTTTGATGAAAATTTGCCGTGTAAACACAAAGCATGAATGAAAGTTGAAAATGTTGGCATAGAAGGCAGACTGATGATTCATGTGAAGGTTTCTTCTCTTGTCCTGCACCATAGGGAGAACAAATTAAAACCTTTTTATCATTCGATGTGACAAAGCTTCAATTTAAAATTGTCTCATTCCCTGTATTTTGTGGTTTATCAAGCTGCTTCTTTGTGCATGATAAATTACAATTAAACCAATTTCTTACATGTCTGATGCATTTATGTTACTAGTCCGAGCCAAATAGCTGGTTTATTCAACAAACTGCTGGAACATTTGTGTGTTTGAAAGGCCCTTAACCCTTTTTGAAGGTGTTCTCAAGTGGTCAAGACTGTGTTTCATCCAAGCAAGAAACTGCAGCAGTTTTAAAATGATAAAAAAATTTTATTACAGTCTGGCTTGAGAAACTGTGGAGCTACAGTTCACAGTACAGTCTGTTGCATGTGTTTCCATCTGTCTTTAGTGGTGACTTTTTGAAAAATGATTTTTTTTCTGGAAAGGTTTTCAGGACACTGTTTTTTTAACATTCATTATAGCTCTATACGTTCAGACCTTTCAGCTGCCCAGTTCGACCACAGGCCATAAAGTCTATCCACTAGTTCTAGTTTGGCGGTGTCTGGTGGAAACCTAACATCTCTAAGGCATCAGTCTCTCAGAGATTAAGCAAAGCAGCCTTAATAGCCTCATGACAGCCATGTGTTTATTAAATTACACACTCTGTTTCAAATTGCTTTCTGAGCCCAGGGGTCTGGAAAGTCTGCCCATTAAAAGGCTACATCAGCTTGAATTTCCAGGAAAAAAATCAGAGGGCTGAAAAACAACTCAGAAATTTGAATGAGTTATTTATTTTTTATTTTTTTTGACTCAAAAGCCTCAACACGGCAGACATCTGGGCCAGTGTTCATCTGAGATTGTTTAGAACTGTAAACATAAGAATGATTTGTAGGAATGAATGTTAAATAAATAATGAAATAATGTTCAACATCACGTCCATAAAGGCAGTTATGTGTTCAGAAACGTCCTGCTGGTTCTCTTTTGTGACTTCTGTGCACATTTCAGCCTTTCTTTTGTCTCAGTAAAGACAACATAAAGGGAGTTGCACTTTATTTCCAACAAAACCTTGGCATTCATGCAGATTTCTTTAAATTCTTTCATGTGTGAACAGACTCCGCAGCCTTTTTGGAATCAGCTAAACCCAATTATTTGAGAGTCCCCCTGCACAAATTTAAACAAACGAAGTAAAAAAAAAAACTGGGGGGGGGTTCGTAGATTAGCCATGTGCATCAGAATATTTAAAACCTCCACAGGGTACATCATGTACCGTTCCCTTATTGCCCGAGTGCACAGACACAGACACACATTCAAAGAGCTACTCAGACAGTCATGGATAAACACACACTTTAACACACACTACGTTAGAGATAAACACACACACCTGCAACACAGACGTGCACAAAAGAGAAACAGGCAGACTGATAGGATGAAAAAATGAACAAAGACAAGATAAAATGTAGATTTGGGGCTGAGAAAGACAAAAGCAAAGGAGAGGGGGAAAAAAACAAATGGAGGGAGGAGATGAAAGGGAGAGAGTGTCTGTAGGGCAGATCAGAGCGGGTCTGTGGAGCAATAAAGCTGGCTAATCCTGGTTATGAGCCAGAACACACACACACTCGCAGTGGCACAGTGACATTTCTGGTTGGGGTTGCATAACCAGTCTCCCCCTCCACTCTAATCCTACTTGTATAACCAGCCATTCACTGCAGTTATATAAGCGCTCGCTCGCTCTCTCTCTCTCTCTCGCTCTCTCTTTCACACACACTAACATACTGACACACACACACCTCTCCCCCTCCCGTCATGCCCTCGCAGACTGCCAGCTTGTGTAACTTTCAGCACTTGATACCATTGACGTTGAAGTCCTTTTTATCAGATATGGATTTCGGTCTTTCCACTACACATGCACTGTGACGTCCATGCTTGATGTAACATCACACAAGTTGTGCTCGTGACTGAGCCACAGTTCACCACATCATTTGAGATAAATGTAACAATGCCAATAAAAATATACTAGAACTAAAACTCATTGTTTTCATGGGTAAATCTGTAACCCAAGTGTTTTTGTTTCTTACGGTGTTTGTAAGTTTTCCTTTGTCCTGTGATCAAGGTTCTTCATCAGGTGGTATTCAAGTCCTTTTTGAAAACAGTTGTTATACTGAGAGAAAAAAAGTCAGTAAGGTCTCTCATTCAAACAGGAATTCATTATAATATATTTCCAATATTTCTTTTTTGTCACTGTGGTAGAATTTATTTAAATATTATGTGAAAATTGTTGAATCACAGCTGAATCAACAATCTGGAAGGGGCATTAGCATTGTTACAGCGAGTTTGAGGATGCATCTAAATGTCTCAAGTTTAGGCTGATCTGGCTGGAATGTGTTGTATAGAGGAGGGACAAGATATCATGGGACGAAGTGTGTGTGTGTGAGCCTTAAGAAAATAATAACAATACATTGTATCCCAGGTTTTCACCATTTGCAAATTTAAATTGCAAATACAATTTAAAAAAACAAAACAAAAAAAAAAACAATTTGGAAGACCTGCAATGTCATTTTTTCACGCCCTCCCTCTGTGCAGATGTGATCGATCTGAGCTCAAGCGAGGACGACGCCATCGTCCACATTAGCAGCGCGTCCACCAACGAGGAAGAAGAGAGCGAGCCGAGCGGCGCACACGCAAACGACACCCTTAACCGACCAGACGCCCAGGGCAGGGTGCTGGTCAACTTGAACCATCCATCCGAAGAGAAGGACGTGTTCCTCTCACCTCAACTGGCGCGAGCTGTCAAACCTCACCAGGTATTTTTACTGTTGCACCCAAATCAAACCTTTGATGCTTCCTTCTGGTCATCCTCCACTCTTATTGGGATCTATTAATGGAAATACATTTTTTTTTTTTTTTACCATGTTGTAAGGGTCATACTGTGAAAATAACCTTCTGTTGAATAGTTTGAGCAAAATTCTGCCTACATTCTAATTAAATGTTTCTTTCCCACCTCACCCTCTTTTCTTATCACCGCGGTTCCAACTTTCTCTTTTGTCACTATCTTCTCTCTCTTCTTTCCCCTCTTTCACAACTTCATCCTCCACCTCTCCCCTTTCCCCTGCTCCTCAGATCGGGGGGATCCGCTTCCTGTACGACAACCTGGTGGAGTCCGGGGAGCGGTTCGGCAGCAGCACCGGATTCGGCTGCATCCTCGCTCACAGCATGGGCCTGGGCAAAACGCTGCAGGTCATCTCCTTCATCGACGTCCTGTTCAGACACACCCAGGCTCACACCGTGCTCGCCATCGTACCTGTAAGAACCTGTGCATTTAATGTTAGAGTACATGGAAATGTGGAGCATTAGATATGGACACGCAATATGCTCTGTGTGGGACCCAGTAAATATAGTCAGAAGATTGACTCTGACCTTATATCTCTTAATTTCCATCCAGGTGAACACGTTGCAGAACTGGCTGTCAGAGTTCAACATGTGGATCCCACCCCCAGAAGCGTTACCACCAGATACTGACCTGGGACTGGTGACGCCTCGTACCTTTAAGGTTCACATCCTCAATGACGAACACAAGTGAGTAACAGGAACAAGAATTTATTTTTTTTTAGCTCTTCCTGTGTAAAGCCTGAATCCTTTCATCCAACCACCTGCTTTGTTCTCAAGAGGAATTTTATTGATTTCTTAAAAAAGTAAGAATAAAATACTTCATCTATTTTTAAATTCTGCAGGGCACGTTCAATCTTCCTCAGACACACATGCATGCAGCAGGGTTTTAGCTAATTTAAAAGCCATTTCAGGCGGATTCCGTTACATTCATGCAAAGCAGTGAAGAGATTTTCCTTCTACCTTTTAAAAACGACGGGGCTGACCTTCTTACCTGCCTCTTCACTTGATCCCCATCTGGCTCTCCCTCTCTTCCATCTCTCCATCATCCTCTTTCTCAGCAGCTGCTTCTGCTGGAAAGACTTTCTGACTCTTGTGCGTGTTTGGGATTAGGGGGGAAGGAAAGAATGCTGCATGATGGGTGAACAATTCCATGATGCATCATGGTCTGACAGTGACACAGTAACCTCATTCTCTTGCTCAGCTCTGTTCAAAAATATCTACCAGCGTAACAACTCGTAATTAATTGGGAATCTGCAGAGCTGTTTTTTCTTCTCTTTTTTCTATCATTTGCTTTGATTTTATTCAAATATTTTCATACTTTTCAGCCTTGTAGTTCCACTTAAAGGTGCTAACAGTCACACTTTAAAACTGAGAGCAGCTCCAACATTTTACATTGTGTGCCACTGCACTCATTTAATATTTTGTAATAAATATTATCTTTTGCCATATTTGAGGTATTTTTACTTGCAATGCCTTTGTACTAGTTTCTGTATTGCTTTGTACAGAAAGTAGGATTGTTTCACAGCACAAAGTGGGAGAGGTTGTTAAGTGATTAGTTGATAATTTCAGAGAGAAGTGAAAGGAAGGAAATACAGTGTTCTCAGTTTTGAGAAACGTAACTTTTTTTTTTTTTTACCCAGGAACACTGCAACCAGGGCCAAGGTGGTGGAGGACTGGGCACGGGACGGAGGGGTGCTGCTGATGGGCTACGAGATGTACCGCCTCTTATCGCTGAAGAAGAGTTTTGTGGCTGGAAGGAAGAAGAAGAGCAAGAAAACAACGGGACCTGTGGTCATCGATCTGGATGAAGAGGACAGGCAGCAGGAACTGCTCAAAGGTGGGAGGGATAAAGAGGAGGGGACTGGGGAGAAATATGTGCAAAAAACATTTAATATACTTGCTATGCTACTTTTTAAAGCACCAGTGTAGAATATCATTGAAGATAATTGTCCTCCTCCTCCAGGTATCGAGAGAGCCTTGGCCCGGCCTGGTCCAGACGTGGTGATCTGTGACGAAGGCCATCGCATCAAGAACTGCCATGCCAGCACATCGCAGGCTCTGAAGAACATCCGAACCCGACGCCGCGTGGTCCTGACCGGCTATCCCCTCCAGAACAACCTGATCGAGTACTGGTGCATGGTCGACTTTGTTCGACCAGACTTCCTAGGTATGTGGCAATCATGGAGATGTTGGCAAGTCTTGAGATCACAAGACTGATTTGGTTGTTTGGCTTCTCTACAGTTTTTACATCTTATGCATATTTCAGGCACGCGGCAGGAGTTCAGTAACATGTTTGAGCGTCCCATTCTGAACGGGCAGTGTGTGGACAGCACACCTCAAGACATCCAGCTGATGAGGTACAGGAGCCACGTCCTGCACAGCCTGCTGGAGGGCTTTGTACAGAGGTGAGACAGCTGCCTTTATAAACTAACAGCTACTGCACCGAAAACAAAACCTGACCACCTTAAACATTTGATAGAGAATACAAAGGTTTTACTGGTCAGACCCAACATTTTCAGACCTATTCTTCTTTTCTAATAACACTTTACAAATACTGACTGTAACTCTTTATTCCAGGCGAGGTCATGACGTCCTGAAGGACCAGCTGCCCTCAAAAGAGGAACATGTGATCCTGGTGCGTCTGTCACCCCTGCAAAGGGCGCTATACACAGAGTTTATGAACCGCTTCAGAGAAGCAGGAAACACCGGCTGGCTCAGCCTCAACCCGCTGAAGGCTTTCTGCGTCTGCTGCAAGGTGAGGATGAGGAGGCCATGTGTGTGGAAGGCTACCTGATATTATATTACTGATATATACTTTTTTAAATGGGGTCATGGATACAGTAACTAAAAGCTTTTATTTAAAAGAATATATATCTTCAAAGTCTTCTTGCTCTGTCTGAGGCCTTGCTGTCCTTGTAGCACTGTTACACAAGTTATTATCTAAGTCAACATGCTTCTGCACTAAGATAAATTCCTGTATATTTCATATATCATATTGGGCAAATCCAATGTTTGTCACCTCGGGAAAGTGTTTTGCCCTCGCTGACATTCTGTCATTCTTCAGATCTGGAACCATCCAGACGTGCTGTACGAGGCTTTACAGAAAGAAAACCTGGCAAGCGACCAGGACTTGGACCTTGATGACATCACTACCACAGGTCCCGCCCGATGTCCAGCCACACCCAATCAAAAGTCCAAGCCCCTGGAGAATCCTAACCCCATTGGTGGACTGAGTCTCAACCAGCTGCAGGAGAAAGCCAATCAGGTCATCACTTACGAATGGGTACGTTTAAAGACTTGGACACAAAACAGTAAAATCTAATATTATATGTTTTTGCTTTCTATAACATAAAGCTGCGCTATGCAGTTCCATAAAAAAACAACAAATGTTTTCAACCTAAAGTTAGGTCATAAACAGACAAATACAATTCTGCCTTCAGTTCATTGCTGCCACACACAGCATAATGATTATAAATACTAATAGAATTATGAACTATCCATTAATCCACAATGATCCAGTACAAAGAAAGCTGGACAACTTACATCACAGTACAACATTTCTAACCATTGAAGCCTGCAAAATTTGAACACTTATTCTCTAATTTTGTTCCTGAGACTTATTACACTCATTGGCCAGAGTAAATATTCTGCTAGGAAGCATTAGAAACTATGGGGACCTAACTGTTTTCAGTGAAATGGCTAAAAAAATGTTGATACCTTTGTGCATGCTCATTATTGTATGATGTGCTAACTTAAGACATCCTTAGTAAGTTGCTTAAATAAGGACAACATCTGATGGGCTCAACTGTAAATGTAAGGGTGGTGTTTAATAGTATAGTAAATTTTAACTGTCTTCTTTCTTTCTTCACTTGGTCAGGCAAAGGACATCATGTGTGACTACAGACCCGGCATCCTGGAGAACTCAGCAAAAATGGTGCTGCTGTTCCACCTGATAGAGGAGAGCGTCAGAAAGGGAGACAAACTCCTCGTCTTCAGGTATGAGATCAGACGACAGAGAGACATTTTCACACTTATGGGTTATAACAATTAAACAAAAAGAATTGTAGCTAAACAAATTGACTTATGCAGCTAAGTGGGAAGGGAAAAGGGTTGTCCTTTTCTCAGCTTTTATTTCCGGATTTGGTTAAGTTCTGCTTTGCATTACATTTGTATTACTGAAGCTCTTCCGGCATATGATACAATCTCTGATTTTGCCTTTTGTTTGCCTCCTGCAGTCAGAGTTTGTCCACGCTGACAGTGATCGAGGATTTTCTGGCTAAGAGACCAGTACCCCCATCGCCCAACATGTCCGACAGAGACAGACCCAACCAGAACTGGGTCCGCAACCTCAACTACTACAGTAAGTGATCATTAATTCTTCAGTATTTGGCTAAATAGATGCTTAGATATTAATCTAATACCTATAAACTTGCTATTAAAGCGAATTAACAGAGGCGGAGGCAGGTTGAGGTAACACATATGGTTTTTCTGTCCACTTTTCTTAACTGACGGAGGATTTTTCTGACTACAGTGGTTTGCTTGTGCAATGATATGGCTCCAATCATTGACTTACAATGAGTGCTGCCACCTGCTGGTGTTTCTTGATAGCAGCCAGACTTTGGTTTATGATTCTCTACACGCACAAGAAGGAATTCACAGCTTTTATAGTGTTGCTGTTTGTGTATTTCAGTCCTGTAATAACATGAGCTGCAGCTGTTATTTCCGTGAAAGTGACCCCAGTTACCATATTTTGCACAAATGTTTTCTTTATTTGGTGCATATTCCCTTATTTAACCTATAGAATAGCTATAATTGCAACTGGAGAATCAAATCCATAGAATAAAGTTTGCATAACATGATCCTTGATTAGATACTAATAGACACAATATAAGATGAAATTGTATTTTAATTGAATGTCCCAAAGCTGCTGAAAACCCAGTTTTAACTCGGTATTGGTTGTGTGATGTTTTGAAGGACTGGATGGAAGTACAACAGCCTCAGAGAGAGAGAGACTTATAAACCAGTTTAATGATCCATCCAACACCTCAGCTTGGGTCTTCCTGCTGTCAACCAGGTAACACACACACACACACACAATAACCGCAATATTAATGAAAGAAAACGCATGTGAAATATTGAGGTCATGACATATAGCTATAACAAACACTGCTGCCCTCTCTGGGCCACAGGGCCGGCTGTCTGGGCGTAAACCTGATTGGGGCAAACCGCGTGGTAGTGTTCGACGCCTCCTGGAACCCATGCCATGACGCCCAGGCCGTGTGCCGCGTCTACCGCTACGGTCAGAGGAAGCAGTGTCATATTTACCGGCTGGTGTGCGACTTCACGCTGGAGAAGAAGATCTATGACCGACAGATCTCCAAACAGGGCATGTCAGGTGAGTCAGAAAATGCATGGATGGGTTTAAAGAGAAAAGAATTGATTTCCAGGTGTTTTTCATTTCCTGTTGTTTACACTAAAGATGTAGTAGATTCTGTAAAATAGGAAGTCTGTATCCTATTTCAGTCATTTCCCAGTTTGGCACATAAAATCTGTATTTTGGTTAAATTTTTGTACATTCGTTTTATTTTTTATTTAACGTCCTGAGACTACTGGCAGACATAGGAGCACTATCACATTGCATTAACCAAGGAAAGGGGGAAAAAAAGAACTGAACCACATATAAAACAGACCAGCATAGAAAATAAAGAAGCCATATAAAACATATTAAAATACAACCCATTTAAATTCCTTCTTAAATATGCAGATATTGTGTAATTCAGCTGACAGCTATGTCAAACATCTGTCAGTAATCAGATTTACTGAAAACCCCAGTCCCGGCTCCTCTGTGTGAACCCCCAGCAGACGGACCCCCCAGAACTAAATAATCCGCTTTGTGTTGAAACCAGAGTTCCTCTGCCAAGAGGCTCTTGTCTGACAGAATAAACTGTCTCAAGTGTTTGCTGTAAGCTTTGACTGGCGAGACAGACACATTGAGGCTGCATATGCTTTGGAGAGCTGTTTGAAATCAAACAGTTTTTCACAATGTTCTCTCTTTTTGCCTCAATCATCCTCCTCTCTCCATCTCTCATGTCTTCCTTTCTCATTCCCTCCATTAGACCGGGTCGTGGATGACCTGAACCCCGTGCTGACTTTCACCAGGAGGGAAGTGGAGTCTCTTCTTCATTTTGTGGAGGAGGAGCCGGACCCCTCCCAGATCCAGTTGCATCCCCAGGACGGCATGGAGAGCGTCCTCAGGAAGGCGTTGCACTTCTATCCTCACCTGATTACTAAGGTAGGTAAAGGAAGGCAAGAACACTGTCCCTATACGCCACCTAGAGGCATTTAAAAGTAGGAGATGTGGGGATGTTTTTTGCATTGTTCATTTTGCTCTTGTGAGGCTTAAAATAAATGCCTAGAGAAAGGCATCTCTAAGAGAGATGATTAACAGTTCACTACTAATTCAATAATTCACCGCTTGTTATGGTGGCTGTTTGAATGAAAATGTCAAAAATAATATATCTGAAGTGAGAACTACACCACACAGTTACAATTAGTCTTTGCTTTATATTTATAGCACTGTTTTAGATGGCTCATGTGAGTCATCTCATACCTCATACAAACCTGCTGGATTCTTAGTGGATGTATTCCAGACTAAACTCTCATAGCAAAAACTGAGCTCACAAAATTTTAAAATGGTTTTGTGAGGTAAATAATAAAAGTTTTATTGCAGCTAATTCACCGGTATAAACTAGTAAAAATTCAAGATTCCACATTGAAGCAAGAATATGACATTGTGCTTCTCTGAAAGAGAAAGAAATATGAATGACTGCAATCTCACATCTTTTTTCTTTCCTTTGCGCCTTCCAGCTACCATTCCCCCACGAGTCCCTGCTGATAGACCGCAGGGAGCTGAAGCTGAGCAACGCTGAGAAGAAAGCAGCGAAGAAAGGTTACGAAGAGGAAAAGAGGGCCTCTGTGCCATACACCCGCCCGTCCTACGCTCACTACTACCCTGCCAGTGACCAGAGCCTCACCAACATCCCCGCCTTCAGTCAGAGAAACTGGTCAGTGACTCCCAGGAACAATGATGGCCAACATAAAAATGAACAAACTAATTTTAACTTTAACAAACTTGTTTAATTCATTTATAATTATGCCTTTCAAAGTGTTCTTGAGTAATAGATACAAGTGACATAAAAGGACAAAAAGTAAAGGTTGTAGTGCAGTTTCAGTTGGAGATACAAGATTATATGAGCTCAGATAAAATCTTTTAATTTTAAAAAGGTTTTATAAGTGACTAATTAGCAAGGTTATCTAACATATGAACCTGGTTTTAATTCATGAAATGATAGTCATAAATTTATGAAAAAAATGATCTCTCTGCTTAGGCGTCCACCTCCTCGTACTGAAGAGAAGCCAGTGTCCAGTGTGCGTCCAGTTCAGTCAACTCCAGTTCCCATGATGCCCCGACAGGCATCTGCTGGCTCGGCTCCAAGCGACGATTCATCAGGATCCAGCCTCGGAGGTTTCCCCGTTAACTGCCTGCAAAAAGCTGGGGTGTTTGTACAGAGGATCGTCACCACTACTGGTAGGCAAACTGTACATTTGTAAACTAACTTTATTCTATTAAAACCTTTTCTTCCCTAGAATCATCAACTCCTCACAATATAAACTTGTCCTTCTTGGTCTCTTTCAGACATCGTGATTCCAGGCACCAACAGCTCAACAGATGTCACGACCAGGATCACAGCTGGAGAGAGTATCCATGTCATCAGGGGCACCAAAGGTACAAATACCTCTTTATTATACTTTATTATATTAAATGTATGCATTTGGCTGCTTTTTTATGTCTTGCATGATACTAAACTGAATATCTTAATTCATTAATTAATGGTGAAAATAGTTGCAGATTAATAATGAAAAGAATCAATCAGTTGTAGCCCTATATGCAGTCACAATGCTGCAAAAGCATCTTCTCTAGGAAACATCCAAGCTTCACATTCACAGTGAAGCAGGTCAGAGTAGACTTTCTGTGTGTACTGATCATTTATTTCAATGTTATCTGTTTTAGGGACTTACATCAGGACGTCTGACGGACGAATCTTTGCCATCAGAGCAGCTAATAAGGCCAAGACTGCAGATGAGAGTGCTACTGCGCCACCAAAAGGTAGGATGATTGACTGAATTCCACTTAAAGCATACAGGAACAGAGATATAAAAAGATAAGGCACTATGAGGTGAAGAATGACATCATTTAAGCAAATATTTAACCCCTTGCTTCTTCCTTCTCAGACTCACAGGCCGCACCAGAGGAAGTGTCAACCAATGGCAGTAACGGTTGCCTGTCACCTGACAGGAAGCAGACTCCCTCCAAGACTATTCCCCGCCCTCTTTCCCCTGACAGCCCAGAGATCATCAGCGAGTTGCAGCGCTACACAAGTGGCACAGGAGCCGGTGCCACTGCAGGTGCCGGAGCTCAACCAGAGGGGGCAGCAGAGAGCAACCTGCCTTCCACCAAACCGGTGCAGACCAATGGCAGCAGTGGGAGCAGTTTTGCAAGTGGAAATATGAGCCACCAAGATGCCTCTGTGACTAATGTAATCCAACCCAACATGGATGCCACTGCCGCCCAGGACCTGAGAACAGGCTCCAAGCGCAAAGCCTCTACCCCGTCCCTGGATGAGCGGCCCAGTAAACAGCCCTCTGCAGGCAAACACTCCTCAGCCACTCTGGCCTCACAAGGCTTCCCCTTCACTGGGGGCTACGGCCTCCCCCCTCTGGGCCTCAACCCCGCCATTTTGGGTGGGTCACTGAGGCACCCGCTCTTCATGGGGGCAGGCTCGCCTTACTTCCAGCCCCCCCACACTCAACTAGGGGACCCCACTTACATGTACCCAGATCTGTTTGGCTTTGGCGGAGCCAGTGCAGTCCCCACCTCCTCCTCCTCAACCACAACCACTGCTACCGCCGTCTCATCTTCCTCATCATCATCTTCTGCATCAGTCAAAGCTGCCAGTTCGGTTCCAGGAGCCCTGCCGCCGTTCATGCTGAGCCCCAGCATGGCGGGCATGGCTGGGATGCTCCCGCCGGGCTTCCCTCTCTCTTACAGTCAGTCCCTGGCAAGCCTCTACACAGGGTCGATGCTCCCGGGCGGGCTGCCGGGTCCCGCTGCCACACCGGGTCCAGCCGGAGCCAGCTTCCTCTCTCATTACCCTCCCACCGCTGCCTCCGGTTCCTCCTCATCTTCTCCTTCCTCCTTCTCCCCCTCAGCACGGTCTGAGGGCCACCGAGCCCCAGTGCTAGTGAATGGTGGGAATTTTAGCAGCGCCAGCAGCTCGGATGATGACGATGATGTAATTGAGGTGAGAGGACAGTGACCGATGAGTGATGTGGTTGTTTTGAGCCAGCTTGATTCAATTTAATAATCATCAAAATAGGATGACATCCTATTTACCAGGATACAGGCTTTAAAGTTGCCTGTGGCCGAGGCTGCGAGGGAAATGGACAAAAAATGAAAGACAATTGAAGTACTGACAACTGAGTCCCTGCTAAAGTGTTTTCTCTGTTCGTCTCTACTGCCTTGGAGAAACAGTCTGAGTGGGGATTGAACACAGACTGGACACAGAGCGACAAATCTTTATGCTGAATATCAGAAGCTAAAACCTGAGGAAGAAAAAAAGCTCCAGATGGAACAAGAAAATGAAAATCTAAGGACTTTGGGCTTTTAAGTTTTTGTCCAATACTGGCATTGAAATACTGATCACTGGACTTAGTACTGCTGAGTGTGGGCCTGCAGTGACCACAAAGCAGCCACTAGTTGTACTGTTGACTTTAGAGATTCTAGTTCTGCAGCTTTGCTAAATGTCAAGACTCTTTTGCTTTTTTCAGCTAATTAACAAGAGGACAGTATGTTGGAGTTGCTTATATTATAAAAAAAAGTTTGAGAATTAAGTTAGCTGGTAGTGACGTTTGTTAAATATCAGTAACTGAAATGTTTGTCACTTGTCGAATATTGCTACTGAATTCTTAAAATAGTAAAACTAAAGGTAGAATGATCAAACAGAACTTTAAGAAAGAATTTTGATTTACTCAATAACTCACTGCCAGTACAGGGGGTATTGTACATTTTTGCTTTTGAAGAAAAAAAAAATGGGGTCATCTTGAATCATTGAAGTTAAGGCTTTTTGAGGATGAGGTTAAAGACAATTACTGCAACCTTTACACTCTAATGAAAGAATGTATGCTTAATCAAATGCCTTTTAAACCAGGCCTTTTTGAAAAGACTCCTTCTATTTCGGCATCAGACTTGGGAAGATCTGATTTTTCTTTTTTTTTTATATTTATGTAATCTCTTTTACTTTTTAAAGAAAACCATTGCCTAAAAAACAGCCAGGTGAAAATGAGAAAAAAAAACTGTGTTCTTGCGAGGTGTCCTCCTTGTAGCGGAGAAACAACCAACAGAAAATGCCTTTTTGCCTCCATCTTTCTGAATGTTAACTGTGAGAGAGGAGAGGTAAAGAGAGACAGGCGGTCACTGCGGCTCTCTGAATCTCACCCACAGTCTTACTGTAGCCTAGCGAAAAACGATGCAAAACACTCACTCAAGCCTATATATGTATTCGTACAAACCCCAGAGGAATTAATCTCGCAAACCCCCCGCCCCCAGAGTGTTGGTGACGCTTGTGTCGTTACTGTGTTCGTATCTGTGTGTTGTATTTTTAAGGGTTACAAAAGGAATCGTTTTTAAGAAAAAATGAATAGAAACTTGTGTTACTCGGTTTGGTAACTCGTTCTAACAACACAGATTCCACCTCTGCTCTGCTGTGTTTCTTTTTCCTTCAGATTTTGTAAACACATGCAATTGTGAAACCAAACTTTTTTTCTTCTTTTTTTTGGAGAGATGGTGTAGCTTTTGCCAAAAGAACGAGAAATGCACAAGCACATCAGAAACCTCCAGCGTAGAGGATTGTGTCTTAAAGAGACCAAATAATGTCGTCAACAATGTAGAGCAGACTTAAAATCCACCCCAGCAACACTCTCTACAGCATCCTCACAGCCACAGTCCAAGTACATATCCATCCCTCTGTATGACCTTGCAGGTAACACTGTACACTGTACTGCACTGTAAAAGAGACACTAATCTGTATACGTCTGTAGGCTGGTTGAAAGCTTCAACATGTGACCAAGTTCCCTTTAGATTAACCATAAACCATTGTTCTGCTGTTCCAATTGATCCCCTCTGATCACACCAACTGATCTGCTATGGTCGGCACTGTCCTTATGTGGAAAATCTTCTCCTCCGAAATGGCTGCAGCGAGAGCTTTAAAAACCACCAGCTCTTTTGTGGAAAATGGAACATTGTTAAGTAAAGACTAAGCATTTCCTGTTCTTTCTCTTCCACGTACTTGTTCTCCTTACTGAAATTGTTAGTTTACTTATGTTTAATTTTTGTTCTCCAATTTTTACAATGTTTGAATTTACCAAATTAAGTTATTTATGACGGTGCATATTTATTCATTTGTATTTTTATTTTTGTACAATGTTTTTTTTTTTTGTCTCCTTTTGTTGCTTTTCTTTATCTTGTTTGTAAGATTTTTAAGGTCATATTACTATTGTTGTTACTATGGATGGAAAACGCTTTGTTTTTTTCTGCCAGTCTGACCCAGCTCATGTGAACTAGTGCAGAACTTGCATGTGGACCAACCCATTTGTGCATTACTGTGCACACTGATAGCCAGGATAGCATCTTTAAGAAGGATCGATCGAATATCATATCCCATTTACTGTGACACTGATCAGCTCTTGATTATGACAAATCCAAAAAAAGGACATCAGGGATACAGTGATAATAACAGTGATATATGATATTAAGCGGTGTTAAAACTCTTTTCTTATCTATATGAGCTCCTTCATCAGAATATCCTGCCTGTTGACATGTTTGTTCACAATTGGGATACAAATCTAAGTATTTTATCTGAATATGAGCCATTTGTGTGCATGTAAATGAAGCTATTCACAAATAATGGGTCAGAAACTGAGGCAGCCTAACCACAAGTGAGCTGGAAAGCAAAATAATGATATCAAGTGCTTCTCTTTCCTTTTTTCTTTTTGGTTGCTCATTACCATATCATCAGAAATGTCCATCTGTGTCATCCCTATGACAGCAAACAAGCAAGTTTCCTCAGCATCGAACTGTTTGGTTGTCAGCTCGGCGTTCGCTGCGCTGACTTACCGCTCTGTTATTTCACAGCTTTCTACTTGAATTTACATATTTATTTATACAAATCGATTCGGTCGGACGAGCCGACTGTCTCAATTCCATTTTAGCTGAGGAGAAGATTAAAGCTGCTGTCTTTAAGGATTGGCTCTAGTCAAAGCCTGTTTAGTTTAGCGATGGATAATGTGTATGACCTTGGATTACTTTTAGATCCTTCTGGTTTTTTTTTTTTTTGGTTTTTTTTTTGAAGTTTGTAAATAAAAAGAAACATGTTCTAAATAATTCATTTCCTAATTTCTTTACATCAGTAGTAGTACACGCCCCCCTCCATCTCCCCCTGACACACACACACAAACACACACAGGCAACAGAGCACATTTAAAGCTGAAAACAATATGCTTCCAAGAAAATGAACCAGTTTTACAGCCACATGAAGAGAATTTTCTCTCAACCACAACGCTATGAAACATAAACAGTCACATATTTATGCAACTTTTACCACTGCAATCTACAATATATATTATATTTGTCTTAAAGTAACAAAACTTTGCATGCCTATTGTCAGTTAGTATAGATGTAATCTAACTAAGACTCTGGGCTCCGTTTAAGAGAGAAAGTTTAACCAAAAGCCCTGAAACGTGTACAGGTAAGAGCCACTGTACTGTAGTTCTGATGGAGCTTAGAGTTCATAGTTCATTTTAGTTTCTGGTGGTGTGTTTTTCTCTTTCCTTTGGATAAATGCGCTCAAAATAAGTCAGAATCTGGTGTCAGCTCCCGACAGCACTTTATTCTGTAACACACTGCAGGTAATATCAACAATACACATGTGGGTGTTTTACATGAAAATCTAATATTGCCTAGTTTTAATGATGTTTTACATTTTCGTCCCATGAAAAAGAGATGAGTAAGGACACTAACTGGGCCAAAGCAATGTAGGCCAATTCACTATTTAAAACTTATGATGCATCATTTTACAGTATAGTAGCTGTAAATTATTACATCTTTATAAATCGAATGGACAATAAATTCATCTGAATCTAATCTAAGCCATATAGTTAAAAGAAATTCCGAAATGAATCACAACATTTCAGACAATACACGTTTTACAGCACAAATTGGGTCAGCTAAAAGAAGCTGACCTCAATTTAGTTGTTGTCTGCTGTTGATTAGTTTGCACTCATATATATATATATGTCAGTCTGTTTAATGTTATTGCTTTTGGCGGTATATTTTATCATCCTGTTCTTGTAACGTAGTGGTAAGATCAATGGAATGTAACATCGAGGGTAAAATCTGGGTTTGGTTTGTACTGGCCCGCTTTCCTCATCCTACTTTGATGGTCACTCACATACTTTCTGTGTGTGTGAGGCCGCTATATACTAGCAGATGTTTACTTGCTGTCATCCTCTGAAAACAAAAAATGTGTCTACTAAACCATTGTGCAAATCCCATATGTTCACCAGCCTTTATTTTGCAGGTTACTTGAGTTTTCAACTTGTTGGTTGTGTCATATATAATTTAACATATATTCTATTTATAACACACCAAAAGAGTATAAAATGGATAAATATAATGAATATATCCACATCCATTACCAATGAGAGGTGTAATATGCCTGAACAAGGAGTATCTTGTGTCATTTGATTCATGTCCTGCACACAGAGGGCGATGAACAAATGTCTGAATAAACCCATCTCACTAGCTAACTTGCAGGTTTATTAAACTGCAGAGCCTGATTTATTAGATCTCATTTGATCCATAACTATTGCATTCCAATTTACCAGCCACAATGACTGTAAATTGCAAAAGTCACATCCACTTATCACTACAGAACTAGGATTTTAGAACTAAATTGTGCCTCCAAATTTCTAAGCCAGAGTACTTAAAGTTATCAGTTACAGCCAGAAATAAATCCGTGGCTGGCTGCTGGTAATATCCAGGACAGGCTGGCCATGTAACTTCATTTTTTGAGTGCATAGTTATCGATAATACTATGGTATATGAGTGCTTAATTTTGGGAAACTACACAGCATGTACCATGAAGCACACTGAATATCATTTCATATATCTCTTTGTTTTTTTTTCTTTTTATATTCAGTGACAGCTGTGATCATTATCTTTCTGTTCCTGTAAACTTTGAGTGAAGGTTGCTGTTTAGTCTGTGTCCTTGTTCCATGTTTCCTTGTTACAACTTATTTGTATGTGGTTTGTCCTTTTTTGTAAATGTGATGTGAGTTCTGATTGTTCAGAATAAAGTGACTGCATCTGTTATTTGTGTCTTTTGTGTGTAATGTCAATGAAAGGCTTGTTTAGAGATTAAATGTGCATTTACCCATTTTGAAGTGAACAATATTATTACAATACTAAATATCATAACAATAATATCAAAACAAAACTATAGGGACTGTGTGACCTAATATCACATAGAAATAATAAGTGCAATAAAGAAATAAATTATTACAATATCTGATATATAAGAAGCAGGCAAAGCTTTTAACTGTAGATCCCTTAATATCCTTTAAATAAGGTGGTGTATGTATAAATACTGCATCAATAAATATTAAATACTAAAATATTTATATGTAAAAGCACAGAAGTATTATCTGCAGAATCTACTTAAGGTATGGGAAGTAAAAGTACTCATTTTGCAGAATAGCTCCTTGCAGAATGTCATATATAGACAATAATTGGCATTTACAAGTTAGCTGCCTTTTAATATTAACAAAGTTGATTTGTTGATATTTTGTTGGAAATATTTTAGTAACTATTATTATATAAATAAATGTAATGCAGTAAAAGGTAGCTAGAATATTTCCCTCTTAAGTGTATAAAAGTATAAAGTGCCAGAAAATTTAAATCTCAAGCTTGTACTTAGCTGTACTTTGAAGTAAAGTACCTAACAACACAGGCATACCTATAAGATCGAACTATCAATTCATTTTAACGCTACTAAACTTACTTTTTGCTGTCAACGTCAATTACTCATGGGGTGTAGAAGAGAACTCGGTTTCCCAGCGTGCTCTGGTGTTGAAAAGTTACGTGACTTGACGTTTTTTCACCGATTGTTGATGACGGTGGCAGGCAGCGCAGGTCAGTATCTGAGTGGTGTTACTGGGAGGAGGAGTGCCACTCAACACAATATCATTTCCTCCGGCGACCTGCTGTCCAAAGACGGAAGAACAACTGAACAACCGAACAAAGCTACGGTAGTATGAAAACCCGGTGAAGTATACGCGAATCGACGCTGGTTCAGACGCGCTTCTAACATTGTTTTGAAGGCCTGTTGCTAGCCACGGGAAATCCTCGGGCTAGCCCGGTAGACACCGGGCCGAAAGAGCGCAGAGGTCCGGGACGGGAGCTCCGTGGGCTGGTTTAAACGACCAGCTTTTACCGTCGCTAGCTTCCCTATGTTCTAATCAAAGGAATACGTAACCTCTCCTGCTCCTCCCTGGCTCATATAAATCAGCGTAACTCAAGACGCTTTGAGTTTGACAGATAGCTAACATTAGCTCTCCTGTGTTTACAAGCTAAATCAGCCGCGGTCCTCTGAAGAAGTGCACTTATGTGTGTTTGTTTCAGTTAACATTTGCATATCTGGCTCCCACCGCCAGCCTGCTAGCTGGTGGTCATATGTAAGCCTGTTCTCCTTCTGTCTACGCCGACTGAAGGTCGCCAGCTAGGCAGCTAGCTAGATCAGCAGGTCTACTAGCTGAGGTTATCACATCTTCAGGCTTATCTACTGCAGCCAAAGTTGTGTTACCTTGTTCGATCAAGAACAATTGACCTTACCGAGTTGAATACCAAAGCTATCTAACCACCTCAAAGACAGTATCCCGAATGAAGGCTCACAGAGAAGTGTGGATTTTGATGCTGTCCGGACATACAGGTGTCACCTGTTCTGCTTGGCATTAATAATCCCACACCAGCGTCCAACATCTGCTGCACCAGAAGCTACTGATCTGCTGATCGCTCTCTTGAGCTCACTTGCTCAAGAAAGATCCTCAACTGAACAGACCACAATGAATCGTTACCTGCCGGTGGCACGACAGCACTTCCTGGCTGCCCTTGCCAGCACCAGTGTGGTGGTAAAAAGTATAAGTGCTGTGGTGGTTCTCCTCTATCTGCTGTCATGGGCCGTGGACACTCCATACTCACTGGGGGTGACCCCGGGCTACCTCTTTCCACCAAACTTCTGGGTGTGGACACTGGTGACCTATGGGGTGGTGGAGCAGCACGTCTGGGGCGTGGCGGCCAACGTGGGGACAGTTATGGCCTGTGGGCGCCTGCTGGAGCCTCTGTGGGGTGCTCTGGAGCTCCTGATCTTTTTCGCAGTGGTCAACGTCTCTGCAGGCCTCCTGGCCGGCCTCTCCTACCTCCTCACCTATGTCGCCACCTTTGACCTGGACTTCTTGTTTGCTGTGCGTATCCACGGAGCAGCTGGGTTCCTGGGAGGTGTCCTGGTGGCGTTGAAGCAGACCATGGGGGATACTACAGTGCTGAGAGTGCCACAGGTGAGAATAAAAACGTAATTTCTGCCCTCTGTTGATGCTTGTTGGCAAAGGGTCTGCTCCTCTCTTGAGCCTGTAAATAATACTAGACCAGCAAAGTTAAATGGAGAGTGTAGCCCAACAAGAATGTAAACAGCACTGGAATACTAACCACTAGTTCTTCAGACGGGTACATAAACAAGGCTGCGTCCGATTATAGCCGGCGCACATAAAGAATACCCCCAGTATATTCCCAAAATAGAATAAAATGTACTTGTTTTAGTTTAAATTATTTTACAATGGATCGAGTAGGAACAAGAGGATTTCCCAGTGTAAAGCCAAAGTGCCAGATACTTGAGTTACAACACTGTTCTATATAGATCAATAAACCATCTGTGTTTGTCTTAGAAGCAGTGACTATTTACCGTGTGCATAATTAATAACCTAGAGTGAAATACTCAATGCATATTTACCAACAGCATTGTGTCGACAGAAGAAAGGCATTTTACAGCACTACTGACAATTTAAAGGAAAAACCAACACAAACCTCCTAGTCCCTGGAACCATCTTCATTATCTAATGACCCCTCTGTGTCCGGTATCAAATTATCTGCATTCGTCATGTTTTTCCTTTAATTTGCCACCTGTCTGTATGTCAGCGCTATGGTGATGCCCATAATATTTGTTTTTTCATTTGACACTCAGGAATGTTGCCCTGAGGGGGTTGTTTGTGACTCTGCGTGAAAACATCCTGTTAGTAACACTTTGGAGAAAAACACCTATTAGAATAAACTATTGGCTCTATATATATATTCACTATAAACTAAAGGTTCAAGAAAGACAACTGAGTTGAATCAACACTTTTAACAGACTGAAGAAGAACAACAACAAAAGCATTTATATCTCCTGAATGACTTTGTATAGAAAAGTGTCCCAGTGTGTCTGGTCCCAGGTTCTTGAATTGTGTTTTATGCTGGTGGCCAGTGTGACTTGGTTTCTCGGGATCTCTAGCCTGGGGACCAGACACATCTGCGAGTGCTTGCATTTGTAAATTAGTGTGGCCATGCCAGGCTAGGGTATCTCTGTGTTTGTATTGTCATTTACCTGTTCAACAAAAGCTTTTCAATTTGTTTTGGGATCCATTTATTGTTTTTATGGCTGCTTGGTGTGGTAATGAATATAAACTATTTTGTGAGCACTCGCATATTGGACAGTCAAATTAGAGTCAAATACAGTGATGATGTTATTTTATTACAGCCACATAAGCCAGTGGCCAACAGGCCAACGGTTGAGCTGTTGAGTGTTTGCTCTACTTGGCCCTTTCCTCTGGTTTAGACATGTGATTCTCTTCCAAATTGTGTGATCTGTTAATTTACATTGTAAGATTAAATCTGATGCTCTAATGCAGAGCAGCTTATACTGAGTGTGCAGATAAGGCTCTATTTTTTTGCTGAAGCACACATTAGCTACACATTCCTAATGTGTCTCTTAAGCTACTATGCCGCTCTGCTTTTAGCTGCCATTATTTTTGCTTGTTGTGAGTTTGTATAAAACTGGGTTACTTCACTCTAATCTCCCTCATCTCAGCTGAGCAGGTTAGGGAATGTACCAAACCAAAACGCTGGTACATTTGGACTATGACTGCCGCCTGCCACTCTGGCATGTAACCAGCTATTGTTCGGTGTTCCAATTCCTGAATCTAGCTGACTTGAGTGAATTGTGGGAACTGGCAGCCACGGTGGTCTGTGGACAAAATGTTAGCTGTCCCTTGATGTCCCCTGAGGATTTATGTTAACACTTAAATCTGTCTCCCCCTTGCATTTCAGGTGAGACTCAAAGCAGCACCAGCTTTAGTCCTGCTCCTCCTGGCCTTACTGCGCCTGTCTGGCCTGCTGGACAGCTCTGCCCCCCTGGCTGCGTACAGCTATGGCGCCCTGTCCGGTTGGGTCTACCTACGCTTTTACCAGAGGCACAGCCGGGGCCGCGGGGACATGTCGGACCACTTTGCCTTCGCTAGTTTCTTCCCTGAGGCACTGCAGCCAGCCGTGGGGCTGCTGGCGGGGCTGGTTCACGCCGCCCTGGTGAAGATAAAGGTGTGCAGGAAGATGGTGAAGAGATACGACGTGGGGGCGCCTTCCTCCATCACTATCAGCCTGCCAGGGACGGACCCACAAGACGCAGAGAGAAGAAGGTGAGTCAAAGCAAAGATGAATGAGTTTGCCATCTGCATACATACGTCGCGTTATCAGATATCTGTTGACAGGCCAATTAGGGTCTAGTATGATGGAGGTTCCCTTGTGACCAGCTGCAGAAAAGCATCTGGTAAAATGTTGTAGTCATCAGACTTTCACTGTTGTTTCAGAAGCTTTTTCACCCAAAAAGAATAGTCAGAAGAAATACTGAATACTCAAAAATATGTGGTTTTTCTTGTTCCTCCAGTGTGATGTTTGATCTTCACTGTGCAGAATGATGGATGTGCAGAGTTTGAGACACTGGGAGGATGTTTTCACATTCATCTGCTCAAAGTGGAAAGTTTCTGTGTGCTCGCTGAAAATCAGATTTTAAGGGCAGGCATGATTTGTAACATCACAAACAGGGCCCGTAACGTATGTGTGATGTAGAAACCAGTGCACGTACACTGAGAATGGACTTTACAGTGAAGTCGGAGACATCTTTTGTCCAAGAGAAAAACTTTAGAAACTAATAAAATGTGTATATTCATAGATTCTGGAACTTGTAATGAGGTAGGAGTAGTTGCCTTTTTTTAATAATTTTAATGTGGAAATTATGCTTTTTTTTTTAAATAAATATATCAGACACGCATGTCTATATTGCTCCAAGCAGACTATGTGTCATGATACATGTCTGGAGGGGATGTTTAAACTTTAATACAAAATATAGTTGAGGTTTAAAGGTCATTATTGACCTGGGAAACAGCTGCTGAGAATAGTCTCGCCTCGAGGTCCATTTAGTAGCTGTTCCAGAGAGCTTTCTGTCTATCACATGATGTTCATCAGCAAACTATTGTTCAGTAACATTATTATTAAAACTATAACTGTTGTCACGAGAAACCCATATTGAGTAGTCCAGAATGCAGGCAAGTAATGGAAAAGAGAAATAAAATAAACACACACGCCCATATAGTCAAACCAGAGACATAGCACATGAAACAGTGTTGTTTTTAGTTTTATTTACTCAGGGAAGGTTCGCTGAGCCGCTGTCCTCTTTTGCAGTCAGACCGTTCGTACATGTCCAGGCCTAAGCTCTGCCACACACAAACTACACCTACTCTCAAGCTGTCAGAGGTTATTTTCCCTCCTGTTCCATTGTCTGGCAGACACACTTCCAAGCTGTCATACAGATTTGGTTACGGACAGATGTCATTTTTCTCTCTCACAGACACAAACACACGTATCAGCCTGTGCTCCTGTAATTGTCCTGAAATTACTTTTTTTTTTTTCTCAATATCTCTGTTTAATGTGTGGGAGCACATTTAGCACTTAGCACCTTGAAGCCTCCCTGTTGGGAAAAGGTTATGTATCATTACATTTACATTTTTATCCAGTAGCTGCTTTCTGGAAGTATGTTTCAGTCTGCGTTACTACTTATCTTCTGGGTAGTGTTTTCTTTCTTACATGATTACGCACAAAATATGGCTGCTATGTGAATGAGGCAAAGGCCTCTGTAAATGCGTCATTTTGATTAGCTAGTGATTGAGAGGTCTGCCGAATGGGAAATGAACGTTATGGTGATTATATGAAAAGTAATTGGTACTTCACGAGCGTAAGTGGGGAGATTAAATCAACAAAAGATGAGTTTAATTCCAAAAATGATCTTGCCAGCATTAAAGGACAGTATTGGCGAAAAGTGTTTTTTTTTCTTTACTACCAGCTAAGTAGTTGGATACCTTTTTTATTGTGAAATTCACCCCTACACCAGTCTGTTCTTATTATATAGGACACTTCACAAGGCAGGGAATGAGAATGTCTCTGTTTTTCTCTTGAATCTATGACCACAGGAATGTAAGCTGATCACAACGTGGAGACATAAGATTTGCAATGCTATTATATTATTAGTATTACAGAGCATTTGAAACATGCACATATTATTCGAACTATGACCTCTTTGTTAGATGGCATTTAGCAACAGATATAGATTGGTCCCACCATCTGACTCTGATCACTACATAGGGCAGTATTTAACATAATACATGACAGCAGTTCAACTTATATAGATACATTTCAAAAGTCAACCTTTTCAGTGCTACTTATTGTGCCTTTCATCTGCACCAGGTGCCCTTAACTAAGGCACTGAAACCCCCAAAACTGCTCCAGTGGCGCTGCAGCTTTGCCCACCCTGTGCGCTGCATGTTTAGGACGTTATGTTTGCAAAACAGATTACGTTTATTGAAGCACAGTGATGCTCTGGAAGCATCATCTACGTGGGAGCACCAAAACAATCAGAAGCAGACCTCCCTTGAAACACAGCTGTACCGGTGGACTAATGCTTCTCTTTCCCTCTTCCTTCCAGACAACTGGCCCTCAAGGCTTTGAACGAGCGCCTAAAGCGCGTGGAGGACCAGTCTGCCTGGCCCAGCATGGACGACGAGGAAGATGACGACGACGAAGAGGTCAGAACCGACACACAGCCACTACTCCCGGGCGGGCGCGACCCCTCCTCCGCGGCGAGATCAGCAGGGGGACCCATCGGCGGCTCCCTCTCCTCCACCTCCTCGTCCTCGGTGTCACAGAGCAGCGGGGCGCAATCGATGGGCGGAGCGCAACACCCAGAGTCCAGCATTATCAGCTTCGAGGATGCACCTTCTAGATCGTAACAAATAGAACACACGTGTACAGAAGCACGCTCCGTTCGGTGTCACTGGCAGGTTTTACTAGTGTATTCTGACTAGTATACAAATATATTCAGTGACCGTGATTAGGCACACACTCGATATCACACACGCCAACACACACAACATCTTTGACGAGTTCATACACACAGCCTGTGCGCTCACAAACACTCTGTCAATGTCATTGTGAAGCCCAAAGGGGTGGTAACTGTACAGTGCTTTCAGTTCAGACATGTTGGTTGTAAATGCTCAGTGTAGTTGGGCAAACTGGATACTTAATTCTTCTCCTCCTTCCCGCATACGACGAAATTCTGTCTTGTCTGGACTTAATTCCAACTTGCAGAGCTCTGTCCACTGCTTCATGTGTCTCTCTCTCTTGCTTTCTAAATAAATAACAAGATGGGTGTACAATATTCTTTTTGTAAATCTTTTTCGGAGCAGCCACACTTGTTCTCTGATAGTCTACCACGAGAAAGCCGCCAATGACAGAGACTCGCGCGCCGAATTCTCGATGAAAGGCCGACTCTACGCGCACCAGCGTTGAAAAACTGGCTGCAATGGACATTAGCTTTTGGTTCGCTGGTTCTAAATATAAAACCAGGTGTGTAATGGAGGTTGAAGTGTGAAAAGCTCCAATTGCTGGACCCGAGGAAAGAAGCTGCTGCAGGTCTGTCCTGCTAATGAACTATGATACAAAACTTCAAGATTTGAAGAGGTGCCAGGTGAAAAGAGTTTTCCAGACCAGGTTCATTAGCCGCCTGGTGTCTCTCTGGAACAACAGGCAGAGAAATGGACTATGTACCCATTTTTTTAAATCCCTGATACGTCATTCAATGGAGAACAATTGTATTTTTTTTTTTTTTTTCTTCTGGGTCTGTTCATCTCTAAACAAAATCCAAACCCTTTGTTTCTTTGCACTAATAAGACATGTTAATGGCGTTACACTCACACACACATCTGGGGGATGATGATTCTTGTTTTGCTGAGGGAGTTTTTGGTTAACTACTCCTGGAACATCATCCTGCACTCTTGTGGGGTCGGAAATGATACAAGAATCAGCAGTAGCTATTCAAGTATCTGGGTGCATATGATGCAGTAGTCTGTCATGGTTGTGTTAGTCATTCAGCACCATTACAAAGGCAGAGAAGGTTTGCACATGCAGAGTTTCTGTGGTGTCAGACTCTTGTTGTATCCCAGACACTGACTCGTGAGGATAAATGACTCTGTAGACGGAGTATGTCTGCACTGATCAGTCAGTCAGCCCAGTATTTCCCAGTCACATCCTTTGCACTTTCTAAAATCACAGTGCCATTCAGGGCCAGCGGGGAATCATTTTCGTGGCAGTTTGATGGGCAGCTAAATTGTTTCATATAAAATGTTGGGTAAATTCCGTGCAGACCAAAAAGGTCAGTGGTTCATTCATTTTGTAGACAGCCATCGCTGTGGATGTCGCAGTCTATTATGGTGATGACCAAATCATTGATTTCCCAATTCCCTACCTGTTAAAGTCAGTTGCAGCCAATAAATTATTTCAGACGTTGGGATCACAGCAATGACAATCTGATGAATTACTTTTTCAACTTGTGAACTTGTGATCACCAAGGTTGAAATTGTTTCCAAATTTGAAAAAGAACCACACTTCTGCGTTTTCATATTTAACAAGGAGGTTAAAGTGCCAAAGGCAACGTCCGTTTTATCTCTCACCCCACCCTCTTCCCTGTATAAGTGGCCTCGTAGATTAAGTTGCAGGTTGTTCCTGGTCTGACAGCTGTTGTGTCTTTGTAGGTAGCCAATGTGTTTGTTCCACAAACCATCTCGGACACTTAAAGCAATCTGATTGATGGTCACTGCTGTTTGGTTTTGATTCCGGGGGCTATGCAAAATGTTGGGATTAAGTACAGAAATGTGCTGTTACATGTTTAATTTAAATTTAAAGCTTTTCATATTTAATAATCTGACATTTTCTTTGTGAAGAATAATCTTGCAGTGGCCTTTGCTGATCATTTGTCACCAAAAACGGACCAAACCATCAGTTTCAATGTTTAAAAAAAAAGACAGCTAGGTATTTATGACCTGCACTATTAATTAATTATTATCCAAATAAATTCCAAAGCTGAGCACCCAGAAAAGAATATTCATATTTATCAACAGCCTTATTTAAATAGCCCAGAAATGCTGTGTAAACATTCTATTCATATTTGTGGTAGATGATGTAGGAAAATAAGTTTGGGGTTCTGTGGAAACAATAACCCCACAGACAGTCTCAATTGAACTTGTTGGCTGACACATTTTATAGTGTAGTTCTGAGGAAGAACATCACATTTTGATAAAAAGAGGAAATAGTGCTGTATGACTCGACTCCATGACACCAGATTAGGAACGTGTTCCTGGGATAACACTGACACCACCTGATAAATTGAAAGGGGAAAAAAAAAAAAAGATCACATTAGCAGTCTGATATTCAAACTTGCAATGGCTTTGATTTTGTCCCCCTAGATTGCCAACACATGCTGACAGTGTGTTCCAGATTAACGTTATGAAGTCTGGAAAGTTCACATTAAATATGTAGAGTTTGATTTTGGATTCTGAAGTCCAAGCTTCGAGAAACAGTTGCTTTTCACCTGACGGAAACGTGTTATGTACGGGAAGTGATAAGCCATATTAGAGTGATGAAATTCTGTGTGTTCTGTCCTGTGTTTCTCATTGTTCCTTCTGCTCATTTCACTGTGCTCTTACTTTAGCAAGAAGAAGTTTGCGTTGCACGTGTGGGGCCATTCTTTAATTACATATGAATGAGTGATGGTATTTATATGAATGGAGTCGTTCGGAGTGGAGAAGGTTGAGCTGCAGTCAAATATCTGAAATCTCAAACTGCAACTTCTGAAGTATTCACAGTAGTAATGGAGGGAAAGTGTCCAAACCAACCTGTACATACAGTAATTACTGATAGCAATAGGAACATGTCACCCTTTTATGGTGTCATTCCAGTATTGTTGTTCTTGCAAGTTACTCTGGAAATAGCATGATATTTCTTTAGCTTAGCTGCCTGCACAACTCAGCTTGCCTCACATAGTAAAAATACAACAATACGGCAAAACACACTCAAACATGGACACCTGAAGATAACTGTGAAGTTGTGTAATCTGGTGTAGTTGTGTAATGATCAGTTAAAAGGCGTAGGGATGTTGTAGTTGGCAGTCTTGAGATTTCAGATTGAACCTGGCGGTCTGACTTTCAGCCAATCCTCTCCGTCCCCGTTCCCTTTTGTTTTGTTTTTTTCTCTTTCTGTATTCCCATTTGTTCTGGCTGTAAACATCCTAAATGAGAAGAAAGGAATGCAATCACATACTGTCTTTGTGAATAATGTCAATTTACAGTTGGTGTTGACAAACTAGAGAAGCTACAGGTGAGGATAATGAATGATGTCAGGACTGTCACTGGGATTGTCAAACCCTTTTAGTCAATGAACGAGCGCTAAAATGCTCTCATTGCAATTTGGCTGCATACACTGTTCATACATGTTGTTTTTTTTTTTCCTGTACACCAGATTCTTGTCATTATTAAAGACACGCCACAGGCAGGTAGATTATTTTTAAACCTCAGCAGGTGCTTTCTCACTTTTACCCAAACAATTAAATTTTGTGGCCGACGGAGAGAACAGATGACGCAGATTGGTCTGCATCTAACTGGTGATCACGTCCCACTTGGATGTCCAGTTTCTGTTGTACGAGTTACCGATCTTTACGCAAAGTTAATGGGCTTTTAATGCAACCAGGAAATAAAAGGTCCAACAATTTAAAATACTAGTTTTTAAAAGTTGTTCATTTGCCAGTCCTCATTTGCAGGTACTAATTTAATAGTAGCCATTTCTGTAGTGCTTCATATGTTGCTACTGTTACGGGTCGTAACACTACACTGAATAGTGCCTCTGTGCTTTCCTTTTGGAAACACTTCTGTTCTAGTTTTCAGAAGCAGTGGCTCCATTACGAAATCTCTTTATATGTATAGTAAGTCGAGTTAGTAATAAGTCGACACGGCAACGTGACTACATTTGCAAAATCAGTAATCACTTGAAATGGTTGAATTTGAATTTTTTAAGTGTTATATTCAAGTATTCTGGTAGCTTGACTTATATTTTAGCCACTTTGGCAGGCAACACATTCCCTAAAATATAACTGTTTGGTGAAATAGTGACACCAGCCTCCAGGACTTGTGGATGAAAGCTGTTTTCCTACCCTAAAATGAATGACAGATTGCATAAAATTCATTCACAGCAATGTTTTAGTTTTTTTTAATAGTTTTCACTACTTTCATTTTCCTTATCTGTCCCTACTTTCACACCTACAGGTCTTGTTGTTACTAATGACAGTCTATTTCCCTCTTTACTGTGGCTGTTGCACAGACTTTTCTGTTTTAGTTTTCAAATATATTTCTTTATCTATATGAAATAAAAGACAATTGTATGAAATTAAAACGAGTGTTTCTGTTTGTTGTGTTACTGTTGTGATATTTAATGTCCCGTTGTGGATGTATATGTGATTTTATAATAAGGACAGGAGGTGGGGTTGCTCAGTGTTTGGACCCATTACATCCCACAGTTTATTCTACAGAATTATAGAAGAGAAAATGTGAGTGGTCTACCAGATCCTGAATATTTGTAAAGTTATCATACTGACATGAAATTTGAATAATGCACTTTTTTGTTAAGTGGGTAGTTGGCACAAATTTGATAAGCCCAGATAAATGAATACTACACGTGTTCATGGTATGTACAGGTGGTATTACAAGATGAATCAGTCAATATAGAGTCATCCTTTTAACAATTCAGTCGTATACTCTCTAACATACAGAATGTTGAATCAGAGACTGCCATAGTGTGGTATGACACAAAATAATGAAGAGGGTTGGAAAGAGTACTAGAATAGCCTACATAAGTCGTAAGTTTACCTTAATGTTAATACAAACTATGAAATAATCTATATTCAGGAATACTAAACCAGTATGATACTCTTAAAAAGACTGAGCACTTCAACATATGTTCAATATATACTGGCCACTAACCAATGCCTCTGCAATTCATTAATTGCTTGATTCATTGATACTGTCAAAAGTAGTAACAACGGTCTATATGAGGACATGAATTCAAGTTAAATATAATTCTGACTGGACTATGACAGGAGAAATGTTATTCTAATTATTAGTAATTACTAAAAAAATTGTAATTCAAAAACTGACGGCACTCAATTATACTGTACTTTTGTCAACAACAATGGAAATTTAAATATCTACAGTTCCAAGACAACTGGGCAAACTCATCACTGAGGAAGCTCATATGATACCATCAACTACTGTTTTCAGGTCAGTCTCAATTACTCAATTACAGTATCAACAGTACCAATTAAACACCTTTCGGCCTTACAAGGTGTCCTTGTACAACTAACATATTTCTTTTTTCTCTCAATATTTTACATGATTTGTCCTCCAGTTCTCTGAATGTGCTCAGTTACCCCAACCGACCAGCAGGTGGAGCAGTAAGTACAGACCACTATTTGGACAGTTATAATGACAGAAAGTTACAGCTTCACTGTTGGCAAAGCCATGAACCACAGTAGAGGAGCTGCTCGCTCTGATGGGCTCAATTAACTCTGATTACGGGAATAATTCACTTGTCTCAAAGCTATCTATATCACAGTGGGGGCATAATCCCAGCATATCATTTATACTGGACCATTAAATAAACACTGGTTTAGCCAGAAGATTAAATTAGCAATCGTTTAAAAACAGCAGTAAGGTAATATACTCAACAGATAGTGAGTGTTATAGATAGATAGATGTAATTATAAACCCAGCAATACAAAGCGATATATTGGTAGATTAAAATAGAACCGTTACAATTAAACACACATGATGAAAATGCCACATCTAAAAAATATACTGTGTTCAGTGTTAGTGTTGCCCGGGGCTCCAGGCAAATGCCTGGTTTGCCTGATAGTACGGCCCGCCTCTGGTTACATTTATATTACAGCTCGACGTAATTGTACTAACGTTACAGACCTCCATACAGTCCACGAGCCTGAAACTCACACACCTCGTGCCCGCGCAGGTGTGGCTCTCATGCTCGTGCCCGTCACCCCTCCCCCCCAGCTACAAACTACAAACCCGGGCGGCGCGCTCCCGTGAAGTAATTCATTGTATCAGATCGAGACGAGAGGAAGCAGCGAGAGACTCGACTGGTCGGCGAAGCAACTCTGCTCCGGGAAACACTGAAAAATCCGACTGCTAGCCACATAAACTGCAGGTAAACTACTTTCTGGAACACCAGGCCGCTGCGAAGAGCCTCGTCTGTCGTATTGTTCAGTTTAAAAGCGGACAGGGTTATTTTAAAAGTTGTCCGGGAGCTTTGAGAGGCCGCGGTATCAAAGCTAAAAGCTAGCGAGGTTAGCTGACGGTAGCTAAATTAGCTTTTCCCCCTAACCGACCTCAATTTCAGCGCCGCTTCCGCAGTTGCCGCACAGTTGTGGCGAGGACAAAACTACTGTATTTTAAGTGTAGGAAAGTCTTCTGACCAAAACACCACGGCCAGACTGTGTCGAGGGCTGTTGGTAAACTGCGAAAACTTAAGTAGTGCTTATAAACTGGAGCGTACAGACTGGCCTAGATTGGCGATCCAGCCGTAGCCAAACAATGAGGCTTTTTTTCTTGACCTGCCTCGGCTGACCAGGCGGCTCAACGCCTCTGCTTATGTAGCTGGTACTGGTAGTTATATATTAAATGTTTATTTTCAGGTAACATGCCAGAAACTGTGAGGAACAAATAATCCAATCAATGTACTTTATTGCATCACCGTGTTATTTCTTTGTACAGAAGGTCTCTGGTGGTAGAGCAGCCAGTCTCCACATGTAGGAGGTTGGAAGTTGAATGGTTGTGTAACATGAGGTTTAGTCAGGTATCATTGTGGCCTGTGAGAAGTCTCATGGTGTATGAAATGTGTGGGTCTCGCCTGGTGTTTAGTTTGGATCGGGGCCACCCACCCATTCTTCCACTGCGGACACACTAGCCATCTGTTGCCTCTGTGATGACGCCATCTTTCTGGTGACCCACCCAGTGGCAAGCTGCTTTAAAAACAATGTTTGACTAAACACTGGGCGCTTTCACAGGCACAACACACAACTTTTTTTCTGTGCATTGGCTGCGGTTCGCTAGTTGTAAGAGTCCATTTTACCACCCAGGGTTGGGTGATAGTAAGTCAGTGAGCTCTGTCATCCTCTTTTGTGTATGTGACAATATTCTGGGTGTGAGTTGGTGTTTTTCTTCTATAGTGAATTAAAGCTAGAGCCAAGTGACAGTCTAATGGCAGTAGGCTAGTGTACTTGATTGTCAATCTGGCAGATGTATTTCTTGTTCATTTCACCCGTGGTAACATTAAGAAAATGTTCTAATTGAACTGTATAACAAAGGGAAAGACAAGAAACAGAATAAGTCAAATCCAATTATCTAATCGTGTAGCTCATTGTCAATATATGTGACATCCACACACCTTTGCAAGCAGACTTAAACAGATTAGCTTAGTATTTCAGATTGTATATTTTGTGATTTGGGGTAAATGAAAGGTTTGTGTGATTATGTTGTTCTTGGCAACGTGGAAAAGCATTTAGTCCTCTAGAAGATACCACAGCTCTGTTTGCAGCACCTCAGGCAGGGGAGCGGGTGAGTCAGATCCAATGTGGTTTATATACTGTCACCCTTGAAGCTGTTCACTAAAGCCATATCCTCTCCTCCACTTAATGGAGGAAGATGACTGTGATTGACTATATCCAATTTCATTAGATGGCCAATTGATCAGTTTGGCCATAAAAGCAGTTGCGCATCATAGTCTCAGTGGTCCACTTATTGAAATCTTTGCTTTGATTAGAAGTATTAGTCTTAAAACACAAACGGCGGTGCTTATTAACAGGATCGGTTTACTGAGGCGTCACATGTGGCATTGATGTTTGCACCTGTGGTTTGACTTGATCCTGGTAGCAATTTGTTCTAAGGTGGACCGACTGCTTCAGTTGGCTCTAGGCCCAATGTGATTCATCTGAAACTCTGAAATTCATGATCCCAGACATGTCTGTGAGCACACATGTGGAGCTGTCATCGATAACAGCTTCCTCAAGAGAGAGATTTTATATTTTTAATTCAGCGTTTTGTTTTGTCCATAAAGCGTGTGGTAAAAATAATAATGTTCTGTGCCTCTCACAGTAATGGGTTTCATTTAAAATGTCACCGCCCACAAAGATGCATGTCAGGTGTGAAAAGAAAAGCACCTGCCAAGTTTCTGTCAGAGACTGAAATATTTATCAGCCGACAGTCAGTCAACCATCATTAGGCTGGGGCTCATTTTCCACGCTGAAGGCTGCGTTGGGTATTTTCCCTATTTCCATAAACACACACACAGACTTTTAGGTGCAACTGTTGCCTGTGTGGGGTTTTCTAAAGGACAGGCTGATGAATCATCGAGCACACAGTAACTATTTTAATACTGCATTTAAAGCTGTGTCATACAAGGAAACAATGCTGAATGAATACTATCACTTAACACTTATCAATTGATCAGTGAACACACCACAGAACAGTGTTGTGTGTGTGGTTGACTGGCGGGCCTGCTGTCAGACTGCTGGCTGTGTGACTTTGACGTGATGACAGTTTACAGGATGTTTAACCATCCCAAAAGTGGAGACGAGATTGAAAGACAAGACCTATCACACGTTGTCTTTGTTTAAAAAACTGGTGTTGCTTATTAAGCTAAGTGACGACGGAGAGTTGGAGGAGCTGCATCGTGCTGGCTCTGTGTGTTCGGTGTGTGTTCGGTGTGTATGTGGAGCATGAATAAAACTTTCCTGCTGGGAAAGTCGGTTGATGACATAAATTAGAAATTGACAAGAAGGCGTCCCCCTGCTGCCAGCCGTCGGCCTGCTGTTTTCATTGTCAGGTTTTATCCTCTGTTCATTTGATCCTGTTACGGTTATCCCCGGCTCTCTCCTTATCCGTTGTTTGTCTCTTAGTTTTGTCTCATGGTCTCTTGGCTAACATGCAGGTGGGCTGGAGATTTGCACATGTAGCCTGGTCCTTATTATCTACCAGGATTATAATTGATCGGGGGAGTACATCTGTTACTGAGGCCATCAACAGAGCTTGCATTACAAACCTTTTATTTCCATGGCATACGTAAACATTTCAAATCTCTGCACCTAAAGGTTAATGTTTGATCATTACCACAACGTGATGTCACATCCATGACTTTCCACATGCACCACTTCCAATGAAACAGGCCCAGATGATGTGTGTGTGGTTTGTGGTAATGTGACGTTGTGTTTGTAGGTGCAGCTCCAGTTTTGAGTCGGCTTTCTCTGGAAAATGTTTGGATTTAAGAAGAGGAGTAGTCTGGTTTCAAACTGATCACGGTCACTCAGGTTTTTTGTCCCATGCATCAACAACTGGCTGAAGCTTTTTTGCACCTCCTGTTCTTGCATTGTTTGTGGATGTGCTCAGCACAGCCAGTAGTTTACATATTCAGCATGTATTCAGCAGCTGTAGGACTGGGCGATCGGGCCAAATAAATAAAGGCTGACTTTGGGACAGTGCACACTGTTGATTGCTTTTACAAAGACTTTGAGTCTGAGAGTCTATTTAAAACCTTTGTGTTGCCCTGTTCCTGTGAAACTAGAGTTCATGCAGTCTCCACCGCTAATGGAGATTTTCCTGTTGTGTTGCCTTTTTTAAGCACATTGCGCCTGTTTTGTCTCAATTCTGCCCCTGATAGTTTTCCTCTATCTTTTTGTAGCAAGAAAGGGGTTTGCATACTAACTTGGACATGTTTATTCTGATACTGACAATGAAACCAAGCTTTGTATTCTTATTGGCCTTAAGACTGTTGGTTGTTAAGCAGCTCTAAAGAAACAACTCGTGGCGTTTAATAACTTGCTTATAGGCATCATTTGTTGAAAGGAGGGCAAATAGTTATTTAGCCATTACAGCCGCTGGTCAACCATTTCACACATTGACCGTACACCCACCTCTAGGCTACAGCTGCCCCCATTTTTGTCTTTTCCTTTTTCCTCCACTCATGGAGGGAATGGTCTAATCTTTCTGACACCATTGTCCCACTTAGAGTATTCATCTACCATATATAGGATGTTTGCAGCACCTCCCAGTACTCTTCATACGTTTCAGGGTCACACGTTACCAGGGAAGTATGTCCAAATGTGCTGTGGTTTAGAAAGAGGCTGGCTTTTAACCAGAAAGGGACTGAGTGCTCAACCAGAAGCTGAAGAAAGTATAGGCAGCACACGGTTAATGGCAGCTGAAAACGCCAGTCGTATAAAAACTGCTATATGGACAAAAAATAAAACGACACAAGACTCAAGGGGAAGTGAGGCAGACTGTTTGGGGCCAGAGCATCTTCCTATGCAAGATTAGAGGGAGTCATTGCAGTAATACGCCAAAAATGGAGTCATTTCATAGACCCCAAAAAGTAAGACAGGGAGTTGAACCTCAAGCCGGTCTGTGGTAGTGCCATGTTATGATCCCCCGCACCTCCAGCTGACTCACTGATGGAGATGGCGGGGTTGAAGAACGTGACTGACACAGCACAGTGCAGCACCTTCTCAGATCGAGGAGGAAGCAACCCGTCAGCGCTATGATTTATTGCCTTCTCTATGTGAGCTCCTGTTGTCCTTGTGCACTTAGTAAGTACACAGGACATGTACTGTGTTAGTGTGAAGCTATGTCTCTGCCGCACTGCCACCATGACAAATGAGGTGCGTTTGATGTGTGCTTGGTGAATAAAGTGATTCTCTGTTTCCGCACCCGGCGAATAGTCTTTTGGTCACAGTTCCTGTTCATGTATGAAGGGAAATGGCTGTTTTCCTGTTTTTATGTGTCGTTTCACCTCCATTTTGGTACAATGTGACCGTGATTCTGGTTATTTTCAATAGTTTATACACCGGCGAGAACGCAATAATTCCAAAGCTTGTGGGTCCACTTCAATAGAAAGTTCCCAGCATTTCCACCCAGTTCCTGTGTTTGTGACTTTTTGTAGACTGTCATTTCCCAACATGGAGTGATCCAAGCTGCTCTTGGCCAGTGACACAAGACTACATGAGACTCATTTGCCCCAACTTCCCCATACTCAGTTGGGCAAGCTTGTTCTCTCACACCCACACTAACACGTCTGTTGGCTCTCTTACTGTCATGAGTTACTGGAACTTGGGCTAAATTCTGCTTCCTGGTAGCTCGCGTCTTGTCGTCTCTGCCATAATGGCCTCTTTGTGTTGACACCTGTATGTTGTGTAAGGGCGGGACAGGGACCTGCAGTGCCTATAAATGTGACGTCACCATCATAGTACTGCACCCACACTTATTCTGAGGCTGCTGTCGTACTTAATGCTCATAATGTTGATATCTATAACAAAGGGGAGCGGTCTTTAACTTAGTATGGGTCCAGCTGCCGGAGTGCACGATGTTTCTGTGATTTCAGCTTTTCATTTCCACATGCTGTCCTCAGCCCTTTTGGCTGACGAGCCCTTCAATTATTGCATAGCCCTCGAGGTTCACAGGACCTTATTTTACAGAAAGGGCATTTTTCACAAATATGAAGACCAATCCAGTTCTGTCTTTGGACACTTTTTGTTCAGATTCAATGAATCATCTCACAGCCCCCTGAGAGCGCTGTGAACGGCTTCTTTCCAGCTTTGTGGTTAGACGTGTCAAGTATGGTGTTGCATGATGCACCTGCACAATGCAACAGCACTCAGCTCATACGCTTACCATTATTTTCATCCACTTCTCTTATTGTTTAAAATGGGTAGTTGGACGGGTCCTTGCATGCACAAATGTTATTTGTTTGTTGTGCATTTCCCCCCAATGATTCCAAACACGGATGGCTTTTCAAATGCTCTGCTGTAATAGTTGCTCTTCATGTGTCTTTGATCCTAAACTCCTTCCTCCTCCTCTGTGTCTTCCTTCAGGGATGGCAGCCATCCGTAAGAAGCTGGTGATAGTGGGGGATGGTGCTTGTGGGAAGACCTGTCTTTTGATCGTCTTCAGCAAGGACCAGTTCCCCGAGGTCTACGTCCCCACCGTGTTCGAGAACTATGTTGCTGACATTGAGGTTGACGGCAAACAGGTGAGACAATTGGGGTGATTTTGCGTTTAATGTCGCGTCGAGAGTGGTGCCTCTGGGTAGATGGAGTGATCCCAACCTGATCATGTTCAAGGCTGTTGTACAACCTTGAATGTGACTGTTTTGCTCGGTGAACATTTAATGACTCTGAGCTGAATATTTTAAATAAACAGAAATCCAGACACAGAATTTGCACCTTATTCTGACACTATTGGGTAATCTACGTGGGTTTACTAACTGTCACAACACAGGCCTGCCTCCTAGTCTCCGCAGTGGGTTTTGTGCTGGTATCAGGGCTAATTTTGTTCCCTGGGTGCTTAATCATGCTCAACGCTTTAATTCTACCTTCAGGGCCAAGTGAGCAAGTGCTGATAAAACTGTGCTGTTCCATTTTCACATCTCACATTGCAGCAGTCATCTGCTAAGTCTGGTCTTTTTCTACAGATTCCTTTTGTGTGAGCGTAGTCACAGTCCTTGAAGTTAATAGTCAAAATATTTCTAGATGTTTTAGGTGTGTGAGAGTCTGAGTTTTATCTAAAATACTGTCAGTTGCTGTGCTAACTCAGGCTAACCAGGGCTCTAGTTCTATATTGGATTTTATAGCAATGCATACACATCCTATGTGGATACAGATGGACACATTGATGATGGTGTTCACTCTACATTCAGATAAACCATTTCTACCCCTAAAAGAATCAGCACATGATGGGGTCAGGACTGTGTTTCATCATTCAATTCAGAAATCAGAAGGATGGATTGTCTTGTGCCGTTGGACTCCTTGTGGTTCGTGCTGTACTGCACTGTGTGCCACTCGGCCTACCTGCAGCATCCAGCCCAACTCATCAGTCATAAACCCTCACGACCTCATTCTGGGTTAATGGGATTCTGGGATGTTGAGTCTTTATTGGCCGGTTGATTTCGAGCCCTCTGTGTTGCTGAGGGAGGACTCGGCTACTCTAAATGTCTTGATCTGGTTTCCTTTCCCTATTTAGCTTTGCAATCTGCTCAGAGAGGAATATATGTGTCACTGTCACATTTTGTACTGTCGAGGCTTAAGTGCCTTTTGCCAGAGAATTTATTAAGGATGAACATGTTGCTAATTGACACTGGAAAAAAGGCCACACAATCCCTGAAATGCTAAACACTAGAATTAATTTTTAGGGCTAATTGTCAGACAGTAATACAGTTGTTCACCCATGCACTGACACAGCTCTGTATTTATTGAATGAATTTAAAAATTGGACTGCCTGATGTGTAGCAGCTCTTGTATGTATGAATGTTGAAAATAATCAATATCATAATCATATGTCAATTTCAAGCCCAAAAATCTAACTTGAACCATATCTCCATGGAAACTACATTTTAAATTCAAACTATTAAAAAATCCTACATCTGAGTGATAAAATAGGCCACTTTAAGGTTGCCAAAAACTGAATCAGCATTACAGAGATACTCCCCCTAAAATGTATAATGTTTAATTCTCTGCCTTCCACCTTTTTTATAGTCAGAAATGATCATAATAAATAAAAGCAGAAACTGATTTTATTAGCGGAATAAGAAAATAAATCTGTCCTTTTTATAGTCCCTGGTCAGGATGAGGTCTGCTGCAGTCCCTGTTTATGATGTCATTTATCTGCGGGCTTCAAAGTGAAAGTTGTGCTGAACAGAACGGAGATGGTGTATTAACTTCTCTCCCTCCTTTTTCCTTGTTCCCCCTTCCCCCTTTCTCCATCTCCCTGCCTCCAATGCCTCCGTTTGCTGCGTCAGGTGGAGCTGGCTCTCTGGGACACTGCGGGTCAGGAGGACTACGACAGGCTGAGACCTCTCTCCTATCCAGACACTGACGTCATCCTCATGTGTTTCTCCATAGACAGCCCCGACAGCTTGGGTGAGCGCAGACCAACACCTACACACATCATGGTGCCCTAAAATACCACGCCTCGGTCCTTCACATGCACTCCCCGGCTTTTCCGTTTTCTGATCAAGTTATTTCTGGGGTCTGCGTGTTCATCCTGTTGTGACTCTTAATACAACTTGTAAAGGAAGTACTTACATTTGCACATACACAGCAACACACATTGAGACAAATCATTTGTCATGCAGTGTCAGGCAGCCGTGCTGTACAATAACATGCCATGCATTTCTGTCATAAGGATTATGAACAGCACTTCCCTGATCATATGTAAAGTGCTTTGCGTAAAGTAAGGTGGTAAAAGCTGCAGATGATTAAAATGCCAGACATTAATTAAACAGGATTAAATGAGAGGAAGTCATAATTGTAGTAAAACAAAGGCTTATTGTGCTAAAGCTGGCCATTTAGAATTGTCTCACATGACCATTCTTGTGACATTACATTTCTGTTCTAAGCGTGTTTTTGCTGACCACGTATTTTCAAATTGGATTGAACACTCGCTGCTCAGTGAAGATATTGAGGCTCTTTGTGTTTTTCTTCTTGTCTTCAGAGGCTAATTATCTTTGCAGTCACTCACATTTTAAATTAAAATACTTTATAAATGTTAGTCTAATCAAAATGGTGGCATTGTGAGATTTACCTGTTAATTTAAAGATAAGGTTAACTTCTGCAGCCTCGCATAGCTTTTATACAAAGGTTCTATTGTCAGTTTTTGTGGTTTTTCAGTTATAGCAAGAAGGAGTAGCACCATCATTTCCTATACGTTTCTGGGATTAATAGATTTATTTAGATTAGGTTATTTTTTTCCTGTTTTTCCCTAAAGTGAGACATACACACAGAGGCACAAAGATAAACAACTCTACTATTGCAGGGCAAGAATGAGCATGGTCCATTGCACTGGAAAATATGCAAATACCGCCTTTTTTTTTTCTTTCTTTCTTTAGCTGTGGTGGCCCATCTGTTACAAGACAGTTTGTAAATGTAGTAAAGATTCACCACCTCTACTGTAATGCATTGAATTTTAGTCTAACAACCAAGATGACCTCGGACACACATGCACGCAAATTAAAATGTTCTTTAGCCAATCTTTATTGATCTATTTCTTCCTTCACAGAAAACATTCCAGAGAAGTGGACCCCAGAGGTCAAACACTTCTGTCCCAACGTTCCCATCATCCTGGTAGGAAACAAGAAAGACCTGCGCAACGATGATCACACGCGCCGAGAACTGGCCAAGATGAAGCAGGTAACTTAATTCTTCTTTTGCTTGGCTCAAATGACTATTCAGACACGTCTTCTTTTAATTAGAGAGAGGTCTGTTACATTTTGGGTGTTCTGCTGATGGGCTTCTTTTGAGTGAATGAGGGCATGTTGAGATTAATCGCATTTAGACAGATTTATTAAGGTGGAGACTTTTTCACGAGGCATTAAAACATGATGCCAACTAAGTGCAATGATGTGGGTGTAAGGTGTATTTTATCCATATTACAATTTATTATATTTATATTATTATATTTATGTATTTGGGCATAAAATATCCCCTTATTGTCTTATTACTATCTAGCATTTCATGCATGCATCTAGCTTTAGAAATACCTTCCCCCACTTAACTGTGTCATTGATGACTGAAGTACGGAGCAGTCAGTCAGGTAGTAATCTTTTAGATGTGTGAATATTCAGAGGCACAGTGAATGTGTTCATAAATGAAATGATTGGTTTTCTCTTCATCCAATAGGAGCCAGTGAAGTCAGAGGAGGGCCGGGACATGGCTGGCCGCATTGCAGCGTTCGGTTACATGGAGTGTTCTGCAAAGACCAAGGATGGCGTGCGGGAGGTGTTCGAGATGGCCACCAGGGCGGCGCTGCAGGCCCGCCGCGGGAAGAAGAGCAATAAATGTGTACTGCTGTAAAACGGCAGACATATTTGGACAGTTTTCACCCTGGGTTACTGTACCCGGGGCTAGGGCTCGGGAGGGACGGAGGGATTACTAGATGGGAGAGGGAGGGAGGGGAAGAAAAGAGTGCAGTAAATGACTACCGCTGTAAAATGGCTGTTTGTTGGACTGAATTTACCCTGGGACATTGGGTTTGGGAAGCTTTGATGGACGGGTGGGTGGATGGACGGATAGGGGAGGAGGGAGCACAGTAAATGACTACCGCCGTAAACCATTGGGCTCCTCACCTGTGGGTTTACCATCGAGGTGGGAAATTTACACCAGCCACCAGCCAAATGCTGGTACATATTGTCTTTTCAACAAGCCACTTACACTGACGAAGATCATTAGGAGATCCTTTAAAAAAAAAAAAACCTAGCTGACTGGGAAAACTGATAAATTTGCTGGTGAATTATGGGATGTTCCAGTGACTGTTCAGTGTGGACAACAATAATAAAAAAAAAAGGTAAAGTTTCCTCCCTGGATGACTTGACAGATGTATGAGGGCACACAGATAGCACAGTAAATGAGTACCACTGTAAACGGCCGCCAGTGGACTATTTATCCCCAGGTGTTCATACCCGGAGTTAGGGCGAAGGGATGGAAAGACCGAAGCGCAGTACTTGGGTGTGACCGTGATATGACTGTATACACCAAAGCAGGGCACAACTTGCAGTTTTCATAGTTCTGCACATTGAAGCGTACCTGTTATATGCTGTAGTTACCTGGGCAGGTTATTTGAACAGCCCCAAAAGTAGACAAATCACCAGTAAACTGTATTGTTGCCCCTCTAAATGGTGCTTTAAATCAGGTTGATCAGCTCGTGGAATAGGCAGTTAGAAAAGTTGTGTGTCTCAGTGTCCTGAGATCTAGCGTGTTAAAAAAAAAAATGGTCACGTGCTGTCAGGTGCTCGGGTCGTACGTGTCGTATTATCAGAGAGCCGTGGAGCTGCATGCTCACATGTCTAGCTCAGTGCCATTTAGTCTCTCACTGTGGCTAATCCTGTGCTTACAGACTCACAGTGACAAACAAACTGAGCCCTACTCTTTCTGAGATGATCTGTTTCAGCCATCTAACAGTGGACGCTCTGTAATTTGCAGATGAACAGCAGCTCAGTTTAAATTGACAAAGTGTGCCCTCAGCGCTGGTTTTAAAGTACATGTGCGTCATCATCGGATCTGTAATTCAAAGTGGCCTCTCATCGCCACCTGTGTTCCAGTCGCTGCTTTAAATATTGGGCATCTTACCATAGCAGTGTTGCAGAGGGCTGTGTACGGTTTACTTCCAGAGGAGCAGCATTTTGACGCCTTCAGCGTCGGGGCTACCCTCACGCTGGTGCATCCTCACTGAGGTTGGTTTGTCTACTTTAGGAAGTGATCGGCTCTCACCTGAACATTTAAAAGCCTTCTTTGGACTGAATCAGTGGAAGTGGCAGGTGAATTGTGGTCCCACTGGTTGACAAAGGTGGCTCCCTGCCCTGCATAGTACAACGTGAGCGAACTCTGCCATGGCTCCGCTCCCATCCCTTCCTGTTCCACATAGCTGACTGCTGGTGCTCATCTTCCCCTGGTTTTAGACCAGGACAAAGAACAAGGAGAGGAGAGTATTGCGTTTACATGCACACCACTGATCTCCATATTTGGGATGAACGACTATTAATTTCTTTTGCATAGGCATGTATAAAGGTCAAATGTACAATAACCAGAACTAGTTCATGTTTGAGGAAATAAAAAAGGTGCCTGGGATATACCACGTTATCCACCATATACATGTCTGCCTTTACCGGTTAGCTGTTGGTACCTGCCATCTGCTTTAACAGTTTAACTTGAAAGACAAACATGACACAGTGACGTGACCTTTTTTTAATCCAGAATACTGTGCATGAAAACGCCAGAATGGTCAGGTTGGGCAGCAGGATAGAGTTTGGGGTGAAACATGCAGGTAATCTACATCATTAGCAGAGAGAATTAACCACATGCCCTATGTTGGACATGTTTCATTTTGGGCTATTTTTTTAAGGGTGGCCAGTCATATTAGGGGCGTATCAGCCACCAGCCCCCCCTGACTCTTCTGTTTGTTTTACTGCCAGATTCAGGCTCTCTTGACAGTGTTGTACCCTCCTGTTCTTCTTCCTGGCCTACAGGGAGGAGCCTGTTCCAGAAACCTAGTCTTGTGTTGTTGTTTTTATACTTTTATTTCCTGCTTTTAAAAAAAAAAAAGTCATAAATATGTTGTCTATCAGTATTTAAAATAGGAGGTGGAAGACTAGGGGACTGCTTATGTGTCGTTGCTTTAGTTTATTCTTACGTGCTTTACCTGAATTTTTCTGATGATTCACAATTGGGTATAACGACCCGTCAATCATCCCTGCCAAATGCTGTTGTTAGGCAGTCAGGAGAAAGGCTGGCCTCTCGGCTGCCTGTCTAGAGCATCGCTAGGACCACATGTGCTGGCTCTTTTTCTGTTTGTTTGTTTTAAAACACAAACTTGGCTGAAAAGACAAAAGGAAAAACAATGTAAGTCTCCTTATTATGTACAAATCATTTTTATTTCTTTTTATTGTATTTTTAAATCCTAATTTTGGATGCTGAAACAGTGATGTAAACAAAGGAACAGGAAAACCAAGCTGTATGCAAAGTCTGTAAATATGAAATGTGGGTTTGTTCATACTAGACTATACACACGCACAGGACTGGAAACTGTATTTGTAAACTAGCTTTGGTTTGTGTAATAAATTACTTTCTATAACACACAGCTCCTATTAATTGTGGTCTCAGGGGGGTGACGGGGAAGAGCTCTTAAGTTCAATCAATACACATGAAGTATAAATGGAGTGCTGTTATCAGCTTTTAATGAACATTTATTTGGCTGAACCCAACACACGAGTAGCATTAACTAACAAGTGATTTGAAACATGAGATTATTTAGAAAACAGTCGAGAGAAGGAAAGCTAAATTTAAGACAAATGGAATGGTTTAAATTTGATATTCCCTCCCAAATCATGTTTACCATTAAGAAAAGCTGGTAAGAAAAACAAATTGCAGCTAGTTGACTCTTAACATTTGTCCTTGTTGTAGGTGTAAAGTTATTCTTCAATTGTGAAAGTGTGTAGCTATTACTCATCAAATAAAAAAATGTTTTAACATTTCATCAACCCAAATATGAGTCACGTTACATCCTGCTGGAGTGTGAGAATATATTCACTTTTGGAGGCCTACAGCAGATGTACCTAATGGGAGGAGTTGCATAAACTGGAGATTTAGGTTAGAAATGTGAACCAGCCACTCTTGAAATGTGGAGGTTCACTCAGGCAGCGGCTGTTATTCAAGCTGCACCCTCAAATCCCACGTCTTCAACCCACTTCACTCCTGATGTTCACAGCTGAGTTCACAGCAACGTACTTGGTGATGATGGGTTCTGATGGACAGGTATAGCAATTAATATAGATAATTGTTTACCAGTGATGCATGTTGTTGTGGTATTTAAATCTTTGTGCTGCAGAGCTACAGATCATTACAACAATAAAATCCCACAGCAGCCCCTTTTGATTGGATGAGTTCGCACAGAGCTTCATCTGATCATGAACCAGAGCCAACAAACATGACTGAGTATCATACAAACCCCAATATCACTATTGGGTGCGGCAGCTCAGTCTGTAGGGACTTCACTTGGGAACCAGAAGGTGGGATGTGCCCTTGAGCAAGGCACCTAACTGCTCCTTTTTTTCACTTTAATACAATGAAATGAGTTGTCTTAGCTACAATATGCATTAACCAGAAAATGTAACTATCTGGGGCAATGAACATCAAAGGTTTGTACTCAAAGGCACATTAGCAATCATCTTTAAAGCGAGACTGTGACATTTGAAACAAGCAACACAATTCTACTCTTGTTAATTAAAAGTTGAATTCATAAGCAATAAAACACATATTCAATACTATTCATTGTAATACACTCATTACACTTGCTGCAGTCTTTTTTTTTTGTGTGCCACAAATAAACACTGCATCAAAACACTGTCGCTCACCAGAAATCAATAGAAATCCAATGTGTCAATCTGTAATTGCAGGATTAATTAATCCTAATGAATTAGTACAGCACTGGTCATTAGTATTAGGATTGGTGGTTGAAGAACAGAAAGCAACAGCAACAGCACTCAGAGACGAGCAGGCAGCTTCACTGAGGCCTGTGCTGCAGAGAGAGCGGAGTGTGTGGGATGCCGAGGTGAGGCCGTTTCAGCCTGTGTGGGATGATGCTGGATGTTGTGGAGTAATATCGAGAAGCTGCAAGCGTGTGCAGAGTGTGGAGCTGCTCCGTAACCAACAATAAAGGGCAGGAGTTGTGTAAGGCAGCGCGGGGGAGTGGAAACCCAGAGAAAACATAGATAAATGCATGAGCAGGATGGTGCTTACACATTTACAGTAACCATTTCATTTAGAGACATACATATGTGGCCTTAAATGCAGCAAACATCTAACGCTTTCTAACCAGAGTGGTGTAAAGTTACATGGACTCACATTTTTGCAACTGATCCAAGTGGTGGCAAAGATCTCTCCATGTCTGATTCTGTTTTGAGCTCCCAGCCGCTTGAATTTGAACGCTGAAATCATAATGTGTGTATATGCTGCCACAGCAATAAATCAGTCATCACTGTAATGCCACTGTTAGCAAGACAAGAGGACACTACATAGAAATGAAGTAAAACAGCCAATTTGATTGCTGTTAATTGGAGTAATAATAACACCAAACCTCAAGGCAAATACCATGACAGGGGGCTATTTCAAAGAGGAAAAAAGCATATAGACACAAAAACATGTTGCTAGTGTGCAACCATATTCAAAACTATTCAATTCTGGACTAAATACAAACAGAAAACAGCTATAAGAAGTCATTTAGAACTCAGTGTTAACATATACAGTGTAAACCCTGAGCAGTAGTCTGGATAAAAGATGCAAGGATGAGGTGTGTGAGCTTCTTTCTGAAAAAATGTGCTGCTTGGACCACTTTGAACCTACATTTCCTACATTCCTGACTTTCCTGCTGTTATTCTTTTCATTGCATACCTCTGGTTTCCACCTTAATACATCAGAGAAGTGCCTGGAGTGCCTTTTGGGGGCTTATATAGGCTACTGTAGGAGACTTGTGTGGTATGGAAAGGGAAGGAGGAGGAGGAGGAGGAGGAGGAGGGATAAACAAATATGGAAAATGGAAGGATGGATAGTAGGAGGGGGCCTCCAATGATGGATTACAAGAGGCACAGTGGGTGGATGTGAGAGGAAACAAGATCAGCTTGTGCTTCTCTGACTGAAAATGTCTCCCTGCGAATGAGAGGAGAGCAATTTAACCTGACTGCAAAACACTAGAGCATCAGCCAGAATACTATACGCTAAGATGCATTTTACATGCATTCAGATATGAAGGCCACTCTGATCTTAACTCTGGTCTGTGTGTTTGTGTTGTCGAGTGTTGAGAGGTTGCTTTTTGGAAGAGTTTAGTGCTTTCAACAACCACTTGAATAGCAGCACACTGGCTCAAACTGCTGTTATCCGTGTTGCTGCACTCTGACCAGACTACACCCTAAATGGTGTCAAAAACGTCATTAGCATACACCCTAATGACGTATATTATATACTGACATCTCTTTGCAACACAATGTGCAGCCATGATGGTGGCATCATAGGAGACTTGAACCACAGGAGGGAACTTGTTGGACCCACTGTTCACTCACAGCTTATACACAAACACATTATTACGATGAATTGATAATCATATTATGGGTATTCATCACTTCTTTAAAACATTTGACTCATGTTTCCTCACACACTTTAATGCTCTGCTCGGGGGAAATGACTGGGCCTCTCTAGAGAGAAATTCAGATCGAAACCACAGTTAAAAAGGAAGGAAGGAAGTTCGTCACTGCCTGCTCCACCTTAAAACTGGTGGCCAGGCACCATGTAAGAAACAACGCTGCCTCTGGTGCAACACTTGTAGAGGAATGAGCTGGAGGGAGGCAGCAGAGGGTGACGAGACTGCTCTGTTTCTTCCTCACTGTGTCTCCCTCCCTGTCTCCCTCTCTCCCTCCCTGCTCCTCCGGCTGCCGGTCATAGACGAACAGGGCGCAACTCAGCTCAACCACCGGCCTTATATACCGGCCTATTTTTAGCCCCTCGCGAGCCCAACTATATTTAACCAATATGAGCTCATCGCCCGCACGACTTGTCCAATGGGATGAGAGGGAGAAGACGGGAGCCGTCCAATGGGGGGGAGCGAGAGGAGAGGAGGGGGGCGGGTTACACGAGAGCCAATCATCTGCCGCGAAACAGGCCGCGAGCGAGGCAGGCAGCGGGGAGGAAGAGAGGACAGACCTCTCACTCTGTGTATTTCCCAGGCGACCAGAGTGTCAGGAGCTCATTTTCTCTCATCATTCTGAAAAGCCACAACGTCATATTGTCTGTCCACATTAAAAGACACACACGTTATTTTATATGTGGGCACTTCACTGATAAAATAAGAGTAATTTTGTTTGCATTCAACAACAACAAATCCCATATTTTCCCAAAGCCTCGCTGTAGTAATTCCCTCTTGATTTTCTGCTTTTCACAGCTTACCTAGTCCCATTTTCAAGGTTGTCTCCTTTAAAGTCTGCCATACGTCATGGCGACTGACAAGTCCGTCCAATTCCGAAGGCCACAACAAATGCGGCTTTTTCAGGCCTGAATTTGTAGGACATAATGGTGTGTTTGTGGTCTTCAGTTTGTCCAAAATTCATTGTCCACCATCACCCAAGGCTAATTCAAGCTGATGCTAAAGGTAGCCTCTGGAGTGAATCGACTGTAAAGGATTACAGGGTTATCCCCTTTTGTTTCCATGAACAGTCAAGTTCCTGTCGTACTCAGATCTCATTGCATGTAGGGTTCAACCTCATTGACCTTTGACCTGTGACACTGTGAGACCCAACAATGTCTAACCAATTTCAGAGAGAGCTTGGGATCATCCCTCAGTGTGGAAGTGTTGATCAATTATTTACGGATGCACAGTAACTTTGCCCTTTACCCATGTAACTGTGAAGTCCCAGAATAGACCTTTTTCACAGCATCCATTTCGACATGAAATAGTAGGATAAATACAGATCTTACCAATGATACTAATTAAAATTCTGTTGCGTTCAGGTCAGACAGAGCTGATATTGTGCATGTTGGTTCACTGGAAAGGCCCTGCTACACTAAATGGAACTGAACCTTAATTAGTATGTTTACCTTACTATTTCACGTCAAAAGGGCTGCTGTGAAAAAGGCAGATTTTGTATGATATTCAACTGCATGAATGTATTTTCAACTTTTGGAATATTTATGTTAGCTGGCTATTTATGCTAGCTCCAGCATTTTATGTTATTACTAGCTGTACGAGTACATTTTACTTCGCCAATTATGGTCAAAGTGTTGCATTAAGCGTCTTGTAGATTCGCCACTGCCGACCTGATCGCGTGAACAACGTGACGTCAGCGGGAGCGGGCCGTAAACTATTTAATACTTGCGCTGCTGTGGATCGCGAACCTAGTTGCCAGTATTCTCCTGAAGCAGAGGTGCGCCAACTCGGGAGCAAAGGGCTACCGACCTTTTGCTATTTATACGCCACTAGAAGAAGAAAGAACGAAAAAGGTAAACCAAGGCGGCGCTTTTTTTTGAATTTTTTCCAAACTCGGCGGCCGCGGAGGTTCTTCTTAAATTTTCCGGCATATGGGCTCCCTCTT